TGATGACGACAGTTTTACAATACATAACCTAATGAAACCAAACACTTCAACAACAATACAACCACCGAAAATGATGAAAAAGGGCATACCGAGAGAATTTGTTGACATTGCAACCAACACAGATACTATTGCTACAGCAACCAGAGAGACGCAAGAAAAGTTATACAATGATGCAAATCAACCATTAAATGTGACATTTGAAGCGTTTAAGGTAAAGGAAAACCAGGACAATATGTTTAAAATAATGCTTAAAAACTTTTGGCACAACACATACAAAAGAAATGAGCCAACAAGAACACAAGCAACACAAACACTGAAAAACAAACGCGACGCAATGGTGTCAGCCTTTACTGAAATGCTTGACAACAACAAACCGCCAGAACCACCGCCAAAGAAACCACCAGACGAGGATAACAGCGACGAAGAAGAAAAGAAGTTCAAACTGACAAGAATGATAGAAATAATGCTACACAACGGCGCTACAGTAGCAGATATAATATTAAACTTATCACATAGCGCAATTGCAACAACAATAAATATCGCAGATTTAGTTAATCAGATAACAGCAGGAAATGCACAAAGTAGCAGTAGCAATTCATCAAATGAAGCTATTAGTGTTCATAGTTCTCCACCTATTACTGTTCATAGTTCTTCGTCTGAAAGTCCAACAGAATACCAGCACCAACTGAAGACGAAAATTCAGAAGAAGAAGAAAAACAAAAAGATAATTTTGAAAAATTAAAATCTAAATAATATTATATATAATGGGTATTGGTCAAAGTAAAAATGATGCAAATAACAGTATGGAAGACATTAAGACTTTAAGAGTAGATGAAAAAACAAGAGCAGATACTTTAATAATAAAATCTATTCAAGAATGTGTGGCACGAATTGAGAAATTAGAAAAAGAAAAATCTGACAAATTAATATATAAACTTCCTGCTTTACAATTTTGCAATGCTTCGTTAATTTAAATTGATAATATTAAAACATAATTAATATTATTAATTGCTATCATAATGTGTCATTTCACTTTCGGGTAATTTTGTTGAGGCATTGCTACACATATCATCTATTAAATCTTCTTCATCAACAAAATTATTTTGAAATCTTAATAATTCCTCGTCTGTTGGTCGTCTTTTTAACACTTTATATAGTTTATGTATCCAAGAATTAGTATGAAAATTATAATTACCTCTACGATAAAATCCACCACATCTACATAGTTTCATTGGCAAAATATTATATTAAATTAGAATATCTTTATTAATCATTTGTAATATGAAATGCCTGTTCAAAATTGATATGGAACATTTTGTTAATGTCTTTAGCGTTCATATTCACGTAGAAAAAAGAATATGGAGCAAAATTAACGGCTTGATGATACATATCTAATAATTGCTGTTTGTCAACAATGGCGCTATTTTCTTCAATAAAACTCATTAATTCACTGGCATTTTCAACCTAAAAATATATAATGAACTGGCATTTAAACGAATGATAGGCGCTAAAACATTGTATTTTTGTGTTGAACAAATCACACTTACTGCATCGTGCCTGCCTCTTGTAAATAATCCATGTAATAATTTACTATATCCAACAAATTTAGGGTCGTCTGCGTGGTCATCTATAACGATTAATATTGAGTGCAGTTTCTTTATCTTTTTAGACTTCATATAGTTAATAATTTTCTTCTGTCTTTCAATTACATTTTCTAAATCTGCTGGATTATAATTGTCAAAATAAATTTGTTCTTTTTCATTATCCACGTGCAATTCGTCCCTGATATATTTTTTAACTTCTGTAAATGTAGGGTCGTTATGGACGCTGGGTGAAAATATAAATATTCTTGCAAATGAATTTCTATAAACATTCAATACTAGATTTTGAATAAGGACAGTCTTACCACCTGTCGAAGAAGCAACTATAATACTTCTAAATGGTAATTTTGGCACGTGCTCATATTTGGATTGCTTGAATTCATATTCAGTTATGTTTATTGGTTTTATTATTGGAACATCTGTCATATAGTTGATATTAAACATATATAGAAAATAATTTAATATTATTTATTGTATGAAAGCATTGCTATGATATGAATGGTGTCTATCGTAGTAGAACAGGCTCTTTCATCAACTTCAATCAATAAGCATTGAAGCTAATTAGTTTGATGCGTTGTAAAGAAAACCCCAAGTGCTGTGCCCTCCGAATATTCTATCATGCATGAAAATAATAAGATTAAATAACTATTTTATCTTATTATTTATATGAATAGGAGTTATTCAGATTATATTAATATAATAGATGAAGTAGAGAATATAGAACAAGTAATAATTACTGACAATAAAATAACAAATGCTGTTATTATTCATTAGAGATACTTAAGCTAGGAATACGATATATCAAAAATAAAAATGTAAATATTAATATAAATGCCAAAAAAGAAAACCAAAAACAAAAATAAGACAGGTTTAAGTGTTTCTTCAACTGATGAAGATAGCGGAGAAATTGTTAAAGAAACAGCAGTATTTGAGGTTGCTTGTCCTATGTGCAAAAAGATGTTAGAACTTAAAAATGAATTAGAAATAAAAAATAATAAAAATTGTAAATGTTCATGCATTCCAACAAGTTTCAAAATAAGTAAAAATGATAAGAAAATGAATATTGATAAAACTAAAGACAGTATAAATCTGGAAACGGATGTTCATAATATAACTTTTAAATGGGGTAAGGATGCATCACTGTCGGATAATACTGAAAACGAAACACAGGAAACTGTTAAACAAATGATGAAAAATAGTATTTAAAGAGTAAATTTAACATAATTACACTTTATAAATATATAATTAAATAAATAATTATCTAAATAAATATATATAGAAATGTCTGAAGTTGAGAATGATGCTATTGCTGAACTATCAAAGAAGATAATGACAGTTAGTAAAAATGTTAAACTGTTGTACGAGATGATAAAAACTATTGACCAGAAACTTGATGCAAAGGCAAACGAACCAAAACATAACAATGAAGAGAAGGAAAAGATTGACAAAATCTTTGAAAAGAAAGGGATAGGCAGACCCAGCGGTGATTATGACACGAAGCGTAAAAAATATTGCGATATGTTAAATAAGGGACAAATCAAAAGTCCAAAAGAACAAACATTAGAATATTATAAACTAATTAAGGGTGACGATGGTAAATATGTAATTGTTGAAAATTAAAATATAAATAATTCTAATAATATGAATTTATTAGAATTATTTAGCAACAAGACCTATATAAAATACCTAGTAGTTTGATATTGGAAACTGTGATGAGTTTAACAGAAATCGGGGCATGATTTTGATAAAATCGGGGAATGATTTTGATAGAATCGGGGAATGATTTTGATAGAATCGGGGAATGATTTTGATTATAACCATACTATGATTATAACATTTATACCCTTATATGTTATAATTATAATGTAAGTATAGCGTTTTATATATTGAAGATAAAGTCCTACAAGGCGGGCCATGCGCAACTCCGGAATATCCAAATTTTGAAAAATGATCAATTATTAGTCTTCTCATTGAATTATTGAAAATGTTGTTTCTTATTGAATAATTCTTCTTAAAATGCTATATATATTTATCTCTTTTGAAAAAATATATTTTCTGAAATATTTTGGAAAATATATGTTTTTGAAAATGAAAATGTTTAGGTGTATTGAGTTTTTCAAAAAATAAGTCAATTTTCGTTTTGGTATGCTGTAATTAAAAAATATTTATCAGCATGTGTTTAGACTGTTTCAAAACATGTTTTAAAATGGCTGTTTTGGGGCGCTTATTCAAAAAATGCAAAAACACCTAGGGTGGACCCTAGACTTTTGAGTCCGAAAAAAGTTGCGCATGGCCTAACCTAACTCTTAGAAGGGTAGGCACTTTTTGGCACCCCGCAGGCCATGTTTTTGACGTCCTGCCCAAACAAAGGTCACTTCTTGGGGAGCGAAAAACGGCTCGGAAGGACCCAGTCAAGTGGGATGTGCTCAACGCCGTTGACCTGAAAAAGGCCGAAGTCGTGGGCGCGGAGCCCAGGCTGAGGCATTCGATCCCTCCCCCGAAAGGCAAACATGGAATCTGAACGAGGGGCACTGCTGGAGGAAATGGTCTTCCAGGGGTCCCTCGCAGGTTCGATTTTTCGGAGGGTCAAAGCTTGCAGGAAAACGAGGCACCTTCCGCACCGGGTAAGTGAAGGTTAGTAAGGAGAGTCCCAACCAGAAATGGATACAGCAAGACGCCCTTCCAATTTGACGTGGGTTTGGGTAGAGTCCTGGACTATCAGGTTTTGAGTGTGGCTCAGGTTGGGTCAGTACAGTTTTGCAGACGCAAGCAGCAGAGAGCGACCAGCCATCTCTTCGTGCCTTGATCCAAGTCATCAGGGCAACGAAGAAGGATTTTGGGCGGATTTGGTCGATGCCCATGGCTGGAATTGTGGATCTTGAGCTCGGGCAGTGTTGGCCTGCGTGCTCACGCCAATGTTCCTTTGTTGAAACGAAACCTTTACCGCAGCTTTGGCCACTTGGGTTTTTGTGTCTGGCCTGTCCAAGGTTGCAGTTGCAGAGAGGCAGTACGTTGGCTTTGATTTTTTCTTTTGGGCATGAGCCTGGCCAGCTGGGAGGCTTGACATAATTGAGGCATCATTTTTGCCCACCTCCTTTTTTCGGGGTTAACTTCCTCCACTATGTGAGTACCTTTTGTGGTCCACCTCCGGCTTTCAGCACTTCAGGCTTTCCATGGACAAGTTTTGAAGGTCGCCAACACGGGTACGTGCTGAGGTGACGGCTCATACAAGCCTGGAATTCAGACAACCTCTTCACGCCTTGTTTGGATAGTTTAGCTTCATGCGGTTCTGCCGCAACTCTCCTTTTGAGTGGTAAGTTGACAGACATGGAGTAGTTTATTATTTAGCAGAATTGACTCCCTGCAATAGGTGACGCGAGGTTGTTCGATCCCAGCGGCATGCGAGGCAAGGTCTTGCTCGACCAGGAGATCTTGCTCACACGTGCGTGCTGGGCGCAACCAGGGCTCGTGTTCAAGAGATGTTATGCTTCCCCAGTCTCTTCATGAATCCCTTTTTTACAGCATGAACCCTTTTCTAGACAAGTCCCGAAGGCCATTTGTGACCACACTCGGTTGGAAGGATTCATTGAAACACATGATCGGTGCTGGTGAGAGTTTGGCTTCTGTTTGATCAATGAGGGATTGCCGACGCAAGTATTTGCTTGCCCACGTCCGGTTGAAGGTTGTTGGGTTGTTTGACCAGATTGCTTGGACTGCCTCTGGATGGTTGTGGGCCTTGTGAGTGTTTCCCTTGATCAATGTGGACCCCCCTCACCACAAAAATGGGGGTCCAACAGATTCTCTTCCGAAAAATTCCGTGTTGCGCGATCCATGTTAGTTCCCAAGAGTCTATGGCTTGGACAGATGTCCTTATCCGCCCGGCAATTTCCTGACCTGGGCTCTGTGGTGCCTGGTTGAAAATTTTTCATCATATGAGAGAGCACATTTGCTTGAATCAAATGGGGAGAGTCAAAGAAGGAATGCAGGACACTGAAGTGGACAATTGTGGGGAACTTCGACCCAGCTACAGAAATGTGGTTGAGCCCGATAGAAGGACTGATGGGAATGGTTTCAGATAGTCCCTTTGAAGAGAAGAGGGTACGGATTCGGAAAGGCGTGCGTCTACAAATGAGTTGCGGATACTGCTTTTGGGTCGGAAAGGGACAGCAGGAAGCCAACCAGTTTGGGTGGTTCCCTCATTTTGAGACCCAAAGTTTTGGGGCGCTGGGGAGCGCCAGGACCTTAGTGACGATGATGTTGGCTGGACGTCCTGGATTTACACCGCAGCAGAGGAGCCATGACGGCGGCTTGATATCGCAAAGTGATGGGGTCAGTCGTGTTTTGAGCCTTGGTACCCCTCGTTTTGGATTGAAAGGGAAGCCAAAAGGAGAACCAGCAACTTGGGGAGACAGACCAACCAGGGCTTTGCCAGATATTGGCAACCCACTGGGCAGGGACCCCACCTAACCCAAGTAGGTCAAGGGACATTCCCAGTTTTCGGAAGGTTGTTTCGGAAGGTTTGGTAGGATTGCATGCGGGGGAGTGCCCGTTTGGGGTGTTAGTGTTGTTAGAAGGTGACTGGCCTTGAAGGGGCTGGGTTCCGAGCTACCCCTGTCAAACCACTGTGGTATGACATCTTTCTGGCTGTGTGCCTTCTGAAATTTGGAGTGACTATGGAAGGAGTCAGGGTTGGCTAAAACATTGACAACTGCTTGAAACAAACTACAGTCCCTCTGCCTTGGTCAAAAGAGCTTTCCAGCCAGTCACATGTGCGCAGGGCCGTCTCAGGATTTACTCAGTCCGAGTATTACGCGGGCTTGTCAAAGCAGAGCCTCCTCATGAACCTGTTTCAGAAGCTGTGCAAAAAGCCATGCCAACCAGCAATACGTGTTCGTAGCGTGTCGCGGCTTGTCATTCGCGCTTGCGACTCGACGCATCTCCCGCATCCGAAAGTGCCGACCTGCTCAAACGAAAACCGTGAAGGACCGAGATTGGGTGGCCAAGAACTGCAACATCACCCAGACCATTGCAGCAGCCTCGGGGATCACCTCTTAGATCAGCCCACTTGGAGTTTGTGAACAGGGTCTTCTCCATTCAATAGGATTTATGGAGAACGTGTCAATGCCTGGCATGGGAACCTGGGGGTGCGGCGCTCTTGCACGTTTTTCAAACGCTTCTTCCTGCAAGAAGTGTCCAAACTCCAAGTTTCGCATCTCGTATCACATGTTGGTGTTTTGAAATGGGGCAATTCCCAACAAATGGGTGTTTCCCATTTGGTTTCCCTTAACCAACAACCCCGATCCCAACTTGAGGTTGGGGGGGGTCATTTTGAGCCAAGCCCGGGTGCGTGGTTGATGCACAGGAGATTCACCAGAGTTTGTTTTTTGTTGTTGCTTTTTTTGTGTTCGTTCGATCGGGGGGTGGTTCGCGCAGAAAACTGAATAATCATTTTTCGGATCCTTCACCACAAATACTGGATGGACAGAATCCTGCACCAGTTTGGATGGATAAAACCCCATGAATATAGGGATACACAACCTACCAACCGCTTTGACTGGTATAGAAGCAAGGGCCAATGCTGCCATTGATTCGTAAACGCGTTCTGTTGATGCCGACAGTAGCACGAGGAGAAAATGATTGTACGTTTTGTTTCTTCTTTTTTTGTTTTTTCTCCGGCATAGAACCATCTTGAAGTTGTCGGATCCAATGATGCCGCTGTCAATCAGCAAGCCAACATGACAGCAATCGGCGAAATCTTTCACTCGGCATTCTCTGACTTGCCGAAGGCCGCGACAGGGACATGGCGCATGGATCCCTTTCAGGGCTGTTTTGGACAGCTGGTGGTGCTGTGGTTGCGAAGTCCATTTCGAACCACCTAAGAAACCCTGGAATGATTGGATGCCCCTGTAAATGCCAACCAACAATGGTTTCAACCATGGTCTAGAAGGGGTACGAACGGATTTCGTCCATCCACCGTATTGCTCCGTTGGGTTCGGCTGAGGAACTCACCAAGGAGTTTCAGGATCAGCTGACGCTGATCAGATCACGGAAGCTTGGAGACTGAGGGACCCACAAATCTTTTTATGGCGATAGGTCCAGATGCACCTTTCCAAGAGCTGCAATTGGCATTGAACTGTGCAAGGACGGGGTGGGGGCAACCTTTATATACTTGTGCCTCTGAATCCAATCTTCATTGAAGATCATCCGGGCAAATTCTAGCGACCGCAAAGGGGATTTGTGGCCTCAAACATGAGAGGGTTCTGTTCTTAGCGAGCCCTTCGTTGAAGCTGCTGAGCTATCACAATCGCCTCTCTCCTGGTGTCAACCAAGGGCGAAATTGTTTGTCGCAACTGCCAGTTCTCCATGCCTTGCTTTCAGCCGAACGGTGCACCTGTAGCTTGCTCACAAAAGACATCTCGCGCGCGTGTAAAAAGCTGTGCTCGCTGCGCGATTTGATACACCAAGGGACACTAGAGGTACGCATGGGGTGACTGTCAAGGACAGCGTGACCTAGGTGGAACTGTGATCAAGGGATGCAGCCCAAACATGACGCATGCATTGCGCACAAAGGCCCAGACAAGACAATCGTTCCTGCTGAACTGCCATTTCACGAACGTGTGCTTACCAGGACTGACGTTGGTTGATCGGTAGAAGCTTGTTCACAAATCCACGGAAGCTTGGAGGTGAGTTGGCCTTTCCGCCCTTGTTTTGGCACATCTTCAAGCCAGCTGATGACCCTGACACCTGCACATGCTGTGATGCGTTTGGGTGAACCTCCATTCAAGAAACTGGCCGTCTTTCTTCTTTGTTTGGCCGACCAAGTTCGTTCAACACAGACACCCACTGCCATTCACTGGAACCCAAACATAGAACACCAACACTCACCCACACATCATCCAGGTTTTGACAATGGATCACATGCCGCAAACCATTTGCCGGTCAGAGAACCTTCAGGATTACTTCCTCGAGTCCTTTGGATTATCGCTCTGATTGATTTCTGGGTTTTTCCTAGCATCGGTCGGACCTTCAAATGGGTGAAACTGCCCGCCTAGTTTTCCTTTGGACCAACCTGAGGAAACTTGGCCGACCGGAGCTTCGAACGAAATTAACGCCACTTGAAGCAAGGACAAAGCGGGTGTGTGTTTTCTGGGAGGGTACCCTAAGCTTGGTGCAAAGCGGAGGGTACCCTAATCTTGGTGCAAAGGGAGCCCAAAAGATTTCTTGTTTTAAACGTGCCCTGGAAGGGCACCCCTTCAAGCTTGGTCAAGAAACTCTGGTTTTCGGGTTCCTTCCCCCAGTTTCGGCACATCCCCGGCACCTTTCGCCCTTCGCCGTCCGCGCAGTTGGCCATCGAGCTCTTTGACCTGAAGGACACCCCCGACGGCGACGCCGACTCCCCGAAGTGCGCTCGGGGCCCCGAAGTGAAGGCGATGGGTTCTCCAAATAGGAGGCGGTACCCCATTTTTGGATGAAGCCAGGAAACCAGGCGACCATAGGCATCCCCCAATTTTGAGAAGCACTCATATCGGCCATGCTCAGAGGCTCCGAAATGTTAACCTCTGTAAAGTTGAACGCTCATGGTAAAGGGCTTCCGTCCGGCGCCCCATGCCAAGAGCTGCAAGAAGGAACTCACTCGACGCGTTTCATTGCAGCTTCGCCCTCCTTCGTTATGGCCGGCCCTTGAGTGTGCCATGGGTGTCGGGACCGCCACTGCGTGTCGCCCCAATTCAGCATAGCCGCCTTGCGGCTATTTGCAGATGGCAAGGCGCGAAGTTCAAGGGAGTCAGCAAATTTGATAAGCAGCCACAAGGGTGCAAGAGGGCAGCGATGTGAAGAGTTCGGATCTGGCGTGGGGGATAGCTTTGCGCAGGATCACCGAGGTGAGACAGACAGCCTTATCCGAGTCATACTCAAGACCTGGTACTGGGGCCTAGCCAAAGCCCTGTGCGGAGCCGAGGCAATGGGATGCCTTGGAGGTGTGCCTGTGCACAATGGCCAGGCGGGGTGTGGGGAGAGGCAGCTCTCCAATGAGGTTGTAACCATCGCAGCTTCATGGACATACAAATCAGTGTGCAAAGTTTGGGTGGAACTATGATGCCCCCTGATTGAAGCTGTTCTCAATCGAAAAGCACATTGAACGTGTGAATGAAGGGTATGGCTGGGGCATGCCTACAGCAGTTGCATGAGTGCACGAGCATGGTGACGCAAGTTATTGGGGGAATGTATACGGGGACGTTGTGTGTTGTATTTTAATGTAAGTTTGGATTGCACAAGCAGGTGCAAGAGTGAAAGGTTGGCGAGCCCAGTCGATTTCAATTGACTTCAGCAAGTAGAGGTGAGCCTGCTGCAGCCAGCGTGGGACCGGGGGGGGCAGGGTAGGTGGGGGGGCGGGGGGGGTGGATGGGCTTCATCCATCCGGGCAGCGCATCTTAGCTGCGAGCTGCGCTTTAAGCTTTGGGCTTTCCATTTTGGGCTGCTGTGTGTTGGCCCGAAATGGATGCTGAGCCTTGACCTTCTGCATCTATGTGCTTTGAGATGCTCGTAAGCATTGATTGTCAGTGGCGATGGTTGGACTATGGTGATACAAAAACAAAGGCCGACAACCCCTCACGCATGAATTGAAAAACCAAAACACAGAATTCACGTTGAGTGGGCCAAGACCTCTTTCCAAGCCTCCTCCCCCAAGATTGTGCTTTTGCCCCCTTGATTTGGCTACTAACAACTGCTTATTCCGGTCTATCTGAACATGTCCGGTTGTCGACATTTTGGTTTGATTGCATCAACCGAGGAAATACCCCACCCATTGCTGGCTGTAACCAGAAAAACCCGGTTATTTTGGGGCAATCTCGAGTCGTTTCTACGGAAGCAAGCATGGAGAGTTTCCCTTATCCCCGGGTGCGATCCGGAGAACCCTCGGTTTGTGTCTTTCCCACGCCCAGATCGTGGATCACGCGATGCCCACCGGCTTCCGGTACAAGCCCGGCACTTGGTGTTTCAGCGTTGGAGCTTCGTTGGCAGACGGGCGCCCCCCGTTTTGTCTTCTCAGCACGGGCCCTGCCCTTCCAAAGGGGTCCAAAGTTGCGCGTGGCTGACGTCAGTCTTTAGTCTTGGAAGAAGCCAGCACAGTTGGTCCAAACGACGGCCGCAAGAGGCCGTTTCTTTCATTTTTTCTCTCCCAGTATTCTGAAGGCCGGAGAATTCCATTCCTGATCTCCTGAAGAGTGATTCCACCTGCACCTTGAAAGGAATCAAGCACCAGCCTCTGGAAGCACCGGCTGCGAGGATCTTGCCAGGGGCTTTCACGCACTTCACCCATTTCGGAAATATCTCATTGATACTTCCAGAGTCGGAGCCCTCCTTTGGAGTGTCTACTCAATTATGACTCTAGCAACCCAGAGTCAACCCTCATGTTGAACACACACTGCGTTTCTTGGAGAGGTTGAGGCCTCAAAACAGAACAAACATCATGGAAATCCAACTAGCTTGTCAATCGAGGACAGCGAGTTTCTGAACACTGACAGCTATTTCGGGGCTGGAGCCACAACTTGCTTCTGGCTTGGTGGCTTTTTGCAGGTCAACAAGGTCAGCAGGGCCGAGCCTGCCCACTTTTTGTAGGGAGGGGGCTGCCAAAGTGGCCTCCAACTGCTGACCCACCAAAAGCAGTCCACCAACCTCCAGCCACCAGCCGCCACCAGCCGCCACCAGCCGCCACCAGCCACCACCATCTGCCACCAGCCACCAGCAGCAACTGGCAGCCACCAGCCAGCCACCAGCAGCAACTGGCAGCCACCAGCCAGCCGCCACCAGCAACTGGCAGCCACCAGCCAACCATCAATCACTTGCCTTCAATCGGAGCTTGGCGGGAAATCGAATTGCAACTTCAAGCCTAGGTCGAATTGCAAAGACGAAATCGAAATCGCCTTTGAGGCTTTGGCTTCTAGCTGCCAGCATGGGCGAGTGGACGGACGCTCTGCCTGAGAAGCTTGGGCCTCGGTCGCTTTGCCGAAAATCTTGTGACCCACAAAAGGCCGCAAGTTGTATGACCCGTCATAGCTTGTTGTGGCTGCGTATATTTAGATGCTACTCATGTCATCACCCTGTCACATCAGGAGTATATTTACGCAGTGATCTACTGCTGCTGAGCACTTGCATGACAGGAGTATTGCTTTTGGAGCTTAAACGCCTTGCTTTCAATACAAACAACAGGGCGCATGAAGCGTTTTTGTGGCTTTTTCTTTTGTTCAGACTATGCCTTCTTGGACAAGGCCCAGGCACACAAGCACTCCTTCATCGCAGTCATTGGATCCCTCAAAGGGTTTGACTCCAGGATTTATCAATTGAACGCTGGTTCGGCGGGGATAAAACCCTTCGCTCGAGAACCCAATCCGCCCATCAAGTGCTGATTGGCAGCCATGGAACGTATGGTTGCCACGTCCGAGTCACCCCCAACCCCAACCCCAGCTCTGATTCCTAGCTGGTTCATCCCACAAATCCACCCTCGAAACCAACTCATGAACCAACCAGCATGACGCCGCGCAAGAAAATCGCAACGCCGGAAGTCCGGAACAGAAGCCGCAGCACCGGCCCCCAGACGCCCAGATGGCGGGCCTCCGATGTTTTTTCAGCCGCGATGCTGAGGGGTCGGCATTGCCTGGAGTTCGACTTCGAGTACAGCGCCAAGTTCGAGGCCAAGCTCACGCCCTTCGAGGCTGGGGAGGAGGTGATGAGTCGGCTGCCCCGGAAGGAGCTTTAAGGCCTCCCGTTTCCAAGCCAATCTGGAGTCCAGAGTCATATTAGATGAAGATAGATAAAGAGGATACATGGGAAGGGGGCTCCCCACCTGAAGCTTTTTTTGGCTTCCCTTTTGAAAGGGAGCGGTATTCAGTGACTTCTGGATCGGACTTAGCTGGTGGTTGTTTTGCATTTCTGTTTCGGCATATTTTGGATTGAAGCGAACCCGCCCGGAGCAGAAGGTGCATTGCTTGGCTCCTGTGCCGACAAAGATGTCCGGACAACACAGCGACATGCTGTAGTGACATTTGCACGTACCTGCTCGATGACTTGTCCACGTTCCGTTTTTCCCAACCGCAGGCATGATTTGTTTTGTGACCTCCATGTTAACTTGTGCTGTATGGAAGCCCACAGAACTTGTGATCCATGTCTTTACATCCATATGGCCACGGATTTTGAGTAGGGACCCTCTGGTGGACATCATTCAGGTGCTGATTCATGTCCACCAACCACTTTTTAGGGGGTTCCCTATTTAAATTCATCGCCATTTGGTGACCCATCTTTTACCCATGCGCAACCAAACACGGGTTTTCGCGCCTCGCAGGTGGGCCCTTCGGCCTGGATGTGCGAGCCAGGGGCCCCCAGAGGCCATGGTGACATAGGTCAAGCAGACGAATATATATATATATATATGAACCAGTTAAAAAGCAGAATATACACACATACATGAATCGGACAATCAAACAATAGAACGGCAAGCCAATACATCAGCAAAGACATCAGCAAGTAAGCACAAATAAATACATACAGAAGTACACTGTAAATAGACAAGTAAATGAATCAACACATAAATGCATCCCTAATCAACAAATAGATGCATAGATAGAAACGCAACTCAATAGATAGATAAACAAAGAACTGGATGGATGAACCAGCAAGCAACTACATAAATCAAAACAGAAGTAAGCAAATAAATAACAGCAAATACATACATAGGTACATAGATAAACAAACACGATTATTATACATACATACACGTTATATAGGATATTATTGTATACTAGCTGGGTGAATTATAACGACCTCACACGACCTCACCCTAAATGGTGGTTTATAAGGGGAATAGCCCACCAACCACCAAACATTTCAGGCTGGTGAAATAGCTGTTTGGCCCAAATCCTCCCAGTAGGAGCGGCTGGGGCGGCTAATTTGGGCGGGTGGGCATCCAATGGACCTGGAGGACCTTGCACATCCGAGGGCCTTGGTGGTGGTTGTGGACGCAGATGCCTTTTGAGGTACACGGTTACTTTGGATGGCGTACACAGCTTGAGCAGGGCTGCGAATGCGCTGTGTACAGTAGGCGCTGCTTTTGATGTGTTGGTTGCTTTCATCAGGGTTGGTGGACGCACGCACCTGCCGGTTGTGAAGCAGTCTTGGCGGATCCCATGTCAGGAGCTGCCCTTTTGTCATGCGAACTAGCCCAGCCTTTTCGGATTGGTCAGATTTTCGTATAGGTGCTTGGTCTGTCTGGGAGAAACTGGGCAGGTGCCCCTTTGTGGTACACGGCTGGTAGATGGTGTCACCCCTCAGTTTCCAGGCGTGTTCTGCTTAACGCCGAGCACGGAGGCTGGTGAAATATTGTAATAACCAAGATATTACATGATATAACAGTATATTATATCACATACATTATATTTTGTTATAATACATTATGTGTATATATATACACATATGCGCCAAGCTTTGGGGCCTATGTCCAAGCTTTGGCAGTTGCATAAGTTAAGGGTGTATGATTTTGTGTATGTGAGTGAGCCATTCCATTGCCAGGGGAACGTGCCCACTACATTCGCGATTTGACCCGTTGCTCAAATGAAGTGAGCCTTTGGCAAAGTCGGCCCTTGTGGAAGTGCTATCAAATACCCTACCAGTTTCAACACTCGAGTATCTCTTAGTTTAGGGCTGAGACATGTTCAGAACTTCTACCGCGTGGGGCATAGTATGCTGCTTCTTCAGATATTGTCTACGCATGGAAGTTGCCTCGGACCCGGTACAGCCCCAAGAGGAGAGAAGCTATCAGCCACAAGCCCCAGGATGAGCATGTCAGTTCTTTCAAACCTTTGCTACGTATGAGTGTGGCTGTTGTCCCTCAAGATCATGTCCAAACTAAGAATCGCTTCCACTTGTTTTGCCGCCCAACCGTAGGAGGGGGTCGTGTTTTTCCATATGGCCAGGATCAGGCATTTTCAAGGTCTGGGGTGGGGCGAGTGGGGGGGTTCTTGACACTCCGCACACATTCATGGTCCGAGCCTGACGTAGGTTACCGATATACGCATGGCGAGTACAAAGGGCATTGCCACGCTTGCTGCACGTGTGGCCATTGCTTTACACACCTACATTCGGAGCCAACCTGGCCCCACATCTTCGTGTTCATTTTAATTCACTGCCCGCTGAACTATGCTCGTATCGGAGCACACCCTTCAGGTATCTATAGCAGGCACCCTGCCTGCGTGCAGCATTGGCTTTCGGCTTGTGGGGGGAACGTTATCGCCTTTCTTTTGTCGACCTTGGGCACCGTGAGGTGAGGTGGTGTGGGGTGGGGTGAGCTCGCAGCTTTTGCCACGATAGAGACTTCGATTGGCAGATGGCCCACGAAAGCACGAGGTTTAGGGCTGTACTTGCCCGCGAAGCATGCCACTGGTATGACCCAAACCCACAAGTGGGCCCATTGCACATTGTTCTCAGAGAGGCCTGGGTTGCTGGAGGTTCGCGCGGCTTCCGAAGCGGATCGTCCAGTCGCCCAACAAGCTCTCCACGGAGAAGGCCATGGGGTCGGCTGGTTCGGTACGGGAGAGCAAGCTCCTTCTGGGGGGTTACCACGGTCTTGCTTTGACTGCCCAAACACAAAGGGACTCTCTGAATGCCACCGCCTTCACGTGAAAGTCTGCATGCCCCTCCGCTTACATCCCGCAAGGCGCGAGTACTGCGCAAGTCTGGGTGTCGGGGTCAGCTCGTGTCGCCGGCCTTGGCTGGAGTTCTGCTCGAACGGGTGAAGAGTTTTGGCGCAGCCGTCGCAACTGAGGATTGCGGAGCATGACGGAGATATTTGCCGTTCGGTTGAAGACCAAGCGATGTGTTTGTGTCGGACCCGGTTGGTCTTTTGAGTTTGATCATCGGGCCTTGTGCACAAGCTGCATGGAAGGAACTTTCAAGTGGTTTGCTAGATGAGGCAAGTCGCCTGCATCCTCCCCTTCGAAAGGTTTGCCAAGTTCTCCCTGGGCCTAGAATGCGCCTCCGTGGTCTTGATACGTTGGTGATTATTTGAGGTTTGGTCAAATTCTCCAGTCGGTCCATTTGGGAGAGACATGGGGGCTTGTCAAATTTCCACCGAACAAGGGCACTCACTCATTTCCGGTCTTTGCGAACCGTACATTGGGTCACCCCCTGCCCCCTGCCAGAATGAGGCTGATCGAAGTCCCACTCACCTGCTCATCGGACTGGGAGCAGGTGCTGGATGTCGCCTGAATGCGGGGCCCCAAAGCTAATTACAAGCGTGTTCCGGGGTGGAACTAGAATGCGCTTCGCAGTGTGGACCGTGACTCAAAGCAAACAACCGAAACTGAAGTATTTCAACCAGGGCCTATCCCCACATTGTGCATGTGGGTAAACCAGCCAAATCGTTGATCGCTGCCTCGTTGCCAGTTGGGCGGCGATGGCGATGAGTACATCTACGGAAGAAGTGCACCTGGCAAGAGCAAGAGCGCAGTGCGGGGGGAGGGGGAGGGGGATGCGGGGTGCGTTTGTTGAGGGTACAGGGTAGGGAAAGGCGAGCCCATTGGGTTCCCTTCCCCTCATGGCCACTTGAAAGTACAGCAGCAATTGAAAGTTGTCATGCGTCGTTTCTTTTTTGATTGGCCGTCTGGTTGATCGCACAGGTATTTTCAAAGCATGCGTCTCAACACTGAGACCCTCTAGCCTGGCGGGACCCATGTAAGAGCCTAAGTGGGGGATGAGATTCTGCAGAGTGACATCAGGGTGTTTTCAGCTTGGCCGCAAGGCGGCGAGCTCAGTGTAGCCTTGTTGGTTGTTGCAGGTTGCCATTGGCCAATCAGCTGGTTGGCGCGGAGCATCGTTTGAGAGCCAAAAGGGGCTGAATGGCTCTGGTCGGATGAACCGTGCAGCTCCTACCAACTCTACCCTGCCAATTGGTGAGCATCGTGCGGAGCGAAGCAAGATTCAGATCAGAGAACAACTGGGTGCAAGGCAGGGGTCAATACTGCTCACTACCAGAAGTTGACCCAAAAGCGACATGGCTATTGACTGAGTTTGCAAGCCCTGTTACTTCCGTTGCTCAAAAACTGAGCAAAGAACCAATGAGCATTTGGCGCTGTGACCCCTTTCGCTTCCCAGCTTGACCTTAAAACTCCAGCAGCGGACATTCTAAACGGGAGATGAGAACTTCAGGACACTTGGCCTTGGTTGCACTCTCTCTCTCTCTCGAGAGAGAGTCTCATAAATTCCCTTGGGTAGAAATTCGGTCGGATCCGGCCAGATGTTTGGATCCGAGATCGCTTCGGCTTCCCGCCCAAGGAGGCGGGTGAGTGGTCCATTCGGCTATCGTCGTGTTTTGCCGGTGCAGTGCGGTTGAACAACGGGCCGATGAACATGTGCCCGAGCGGCACATGATCCGAAGCTGTCGGAAGGTCAGTTTGTTCAGTGAGAAACGCCGTGGCGCAAGCCTGGGAGGTGGAGAACATGCAGCACGATATCTCACTGGAGGTGGGTGTGCGACTGGGGACCTTTCGATTACCACTAACGTTGGCATCGCTACGTCAAATGTGGAGTTTCAGTATCAGCGTTTGTATGCACGTGTTTGAGCCATATATGAACAAAGCAAAGCATAGGAAGAGAAGCAGCGCATCCAAACAAAGTGCAGCAATTGTTCCGCTGTGGAAGAGAGGCAAGCCCGAACCCTGCCGCTTGAGAAGGGAGTTGTTCTTTTGGTCAGGCATGCACCCACTCAACGACCTGATGCCCTTTCCAGTCCCAGCTTGGCAGAAGGTTCGCCCAGCCTTTCTTTCCAGATTCTTTCAGGTGACTTCCTACACCTTCCATCCCGTACCAGGTGTCGGAGACTTGCATCTTTCGGGCCACCACACACCACTCCGACGGTGTGGACATCCGCCTCAAGCTCACGGCCCAAGGTGCGCATAGCGCGGACGAGGGGGGTACGGTGTGGCTCAAGGAAAACGACCATGTGCCCCTACTGTGGATGGTTGCGAAATCCATTTCGCACCAACTAAGAAACCCTATGATTTTTCTGTGAATGTCAACAAGCGGGGGTTTCAACGTTTCGAAGTGGTGCGAAATGGATTCCGTCCATCCACAGTAGGGTATGTGCACAGCTCACGCCTCCATGGGCTTGTAGATTCCCTTAACTGGGGTGGCAGGTGGGATACAATGTCGGTCAGCCTTCTATGTCCCTTGTTCTTCGATTTGGGCAAAAGCTTTGATTTTTGTATGTGTCGATTTGATTCATATAGGTTTACGAACTTCTTTGCAGCAAAGTCTTTTGGAAGACGGTATGGAAAATGGCGATCCGCACTTTGAGCGGTTGACGTTCCTAATCATTAAACGCAACAAAATCCCAAGAAAGCAAGAAGTTTGGTCAACATATCCAATAATGTTGGGGAGTGATTAATAAAGGGCCCCCCCCCCTCCCTCCCCCTCAAACGAATGGGGGGGGGTCAATAGCAAGAACCCCCAAAAACAAAATGGGGGTCAGACTGGGACCTGCCTGAGTAGTTTTCCAGTAAGTATTGTTTAGAATTGGTTTAGTATTGGTTTAGTATTCCTTTGAGCTGGCTCACTACGGTTTAGAATTGGTTTAGTATTAGTTCAGTATTCTTTTCAGTTGACTCACTACAGTTTAGAATTGGTTTAGTATTGGTTCTTCTTCTTGGCAGGCTGCCCTGGCCATTTTTTTTTTTCAGATTGATAAGGAATTTGGTGGTTTGGGACAGGAAGCAATTCAGAGATTCTGGACATTTCTGGCTTTATCTGAGAACAGCAGGGCTTTCTTCTTGGCAGCTGGCCATTTTTTTCTTCACAATTCCCTACCCTTAAACAAACTGCATTATTGCCTTCCTGGGGGTTCCGTGTGCCACCCCCTTGAAAATTTGTCAGGGATTGATAAGGAATTTGGTGGTTTGGGACAGGAAGCAATCCAGAAATTCTGGACATTTCTGGCTGGACTCAGACGTTTCAACCCTCAAAAATAGTCCATTCTTTGGAAGGGGGCATATTTTTGGGATTTCAGGCATAGTTTTTTAATGTAATACCTACCCTTTTTGCTTTTCAGGAGAGTGAATAATTTTGAGTTTTGTTTTTCTGTATTCACTCCCGTTTTATTAATCGCTATCTAACATGAGTCTGTAGTATATTGCGAGGCACACAGGGGACTTACTCAATTTCGCAAAGGGGGACAATCCCAAATGTCCCCAGGGCCATTAGGGGCGCAGCATATCTGACCACGACTTATGTCAAGTCCGGAGCACTACACCATGCAAGTAACAGAGTTGCTCACAAATGTAGCCTACCGCCCAATCATCGTGCGACCCCCACTTTCAATGATTGCTTGGTTTATCTTGGTTTCACTCGGAACGCACTGGGCTTCACCAATGGGAAGAGCCAACAGACATTCAGTTGATGCCACGATGCTTCCCCCTGCATCATGAAACTGCCCAACGACCTTGAGTCACTCCCAATGAGAGACGCAGCGAGCCTCTCCCCTGAAAACCTCCAGGGCGGTTTCAACCAGCCAGGCCAGTCCGCGCAGCCTCAAGGCCGGGCCGCGACCCGGAGCGGATAGATGTAGGGTTACAAAAGGGCTTCTAAACGACGTCCCTATATGAGTGCAACGGCGCCGTGGACACCCTCTAGCTGTTATGAGTTTGTCGTACTTGGCTTTGCAGGCGCTATCGAGCTCAGTTTGTGTCAGATTTGCCACAGGAGACAGCGTCCAGCCGCCGGGGCGCCAATTGCCTGCTTAGCGATCCGAGGTCCCTCGCGTGGCTGTTCTCCACGGGTGTTTGTAGATGTGCAGTCTCCGGCAATGTTTGGTTTTCTGAATGTCTCCTTTCAAACCCATCGAGAAGGAGATTTCCAGGTTCAGTAAGCACCGATATTTGCCCTTTCCCTGCTGGTACGCTTTTCCATTTTTGTCTCGCGGGGGTGGGGGCGGGTCCTTCAAAATCAACCAGGCAACGAAAAAGACACCCTCTTGTTCTGAAGGTCACTGGATGATAGTAAAGCTTCCCTGATCAACATGAAGAAGGCGAAAGACCATTTAGTTCTTCCTGGGGCCGCAAGACTCATGAAATGAGGTGAGCACTTCTTTTTTGCAGCTATGTGGGGCCAGAGACAATTCTTTTGGGGGCAGTAGACCTGTTTCGGTGCCGCGATGTTTGAGCAAGAGGTTGAGAAACACGGATTGTCTGCACGCCTTAAGGCAAGTCTTGCCATGCGCCCAGTGCAATCCCAACTCGCTTCACCTTGGACCTCGCTCAGACCCGAGGTGCAAGAGTATGAAGCATCCCGGGCCTGTGCCGCGGCACTCCATCTTCTGCCTTCTGCAGCCAGGACGGACGGGAGGAGCGTTCGTAGGCTGGCCTTCAGTCATGCCCTGCCAGCCGTGCCAAACAGGATTCCCTGGGCTCATTAAAGTCAACTTGGTTGGCAGGAGTTATCAAACTGCGTTGGAGATTTCATGGTAACCTCCGTTGAAATAATATCACTCGGAGTTTGTGACTTTCACGGCCTCAATCCCCTCAAGCATTATTTCAGACCTGCTTCTGGCCTCGATCAAGACTGTCTGGCTGACATGCTGAATTCACGTAGTGTGACGCTATCTTACTTCTCTGCATCACCAGCATCATTTGCATCATGATCTGGCCTTTTGCAGAATTTGAGTGTGTGCTTCACAGAGCGTGAATCACACGCAGCACGATGTTTTGTTAGCCCTACTAGTGACGCCATTGCTCTGCATCACCAACATCATTTGTGTCCTGATTTTGCCTGGCATCATTTGCATCCTGATTTTGCCTGGTTGTGCCAAAGTCCCAATCCCCTCAAGCATCATTTGCGGCAACTTTTGGCGACAACCTCGGGTGTGCACTATGCTACACAATGTCACACTATGTCGTTGTCATTGTCCTTCCCTTTTGCGCGGGGCAATAGAAATCAGGGTTGCGTTTCAATTGGGCGAACGACAACTGAAGCAATTTCACGGCTTCAGTTGTAGACGCTGCTAGGGCTCCGCACTCATTTTGTAATGCGAGAGTCAACAGGCTGGAAGGAACAAGGCCACAGTCGTGGCTTGCCAGGTATGTACACGCTCACCTTCTATGCCCAGTACCCGCTGGGAGGTGGGGACTGCCGGTGAAAGGGCGGTCGATTACCCAACCTGCTGGCTCCAATGCACGAATTTGAATCGTGTTAGACAAATGCAGGGTCCCTTTGTCCAGTGCTTGGCGGCCCTATTCTCTTGGAACCACAGGCTTCGGCCGAGATGCGCAGAAGCTACCATGTACACGTACATATATGATATGTATGTATGTATGTATGTAATGTATGTTAAGTAATGTAATGTAATGTAATGTAATGTGTAATCTAATGTGTAATGTAATGTGATGTGATGTAATGTAATGTAATGTAATGCGCAATGTAATGTAATGTAATGTAATGTAATGTAATGCGTAATGTAATGTAATGTGTAATGTAATGTGGTGTAATGAAATGTAATGTAATGTAATGCAATGTAATGTAATGTAATGTAATGTGAAATCTAATGTGTAATGGAATGTAATGTAATGTAATGTAATGTAATGTAATGTAATGTAATGTAATGTAATGTAATGTAGTGTAATGTACTGTATGTAATGTCATATGCAATGTAATGTAATATGGAATATGTAACGTAATGTGTAATGTAATGCGTAATGTAATGTAATGTAATGTAGTGTAATGAAATGCAATGCAATGCAAGGCAATGCAATGCAATGCAATGCAATGCAATGTAATGTAATGTAATGTAATGCAATGCAATGCAATGTAATGTAATGTAATGTAATGTAATGTGTAATGTAATGTGTAATGTAATGTAATGTGTAATCTAATGTGTTGTGTAATGTAATGTAATGTAATGTGTAATCTAATGTGTTGTGTAATGTAATGTAATGTAAATGTAATGTAAATGTAATGTAATGTAATGTCATATGCAATGTCATATGCAATGTAATGTAATATGGAATATGTAACGTAATGTGTAATGTAATGCGTAATGTAATGTAATGTAATGTAATGCAATGCAATGCAATGTAATGTAATGTAATGTAATGTAATGTAATGTAATGTAATGTGTAATGTAATGTAATGTATTGTAATGTAATGTAATGCAATGTAATGTAATGTAATGTAATGTGTAATCTAATGTGTAATGGAATGTAATGTAATGTAATGTAATGTAATGTAATGTAATGTAATGTAGTGTAGTGTAATGTACTGTATGTAATGTCATATGCAATGTAATGTAATATGGAATATGTAACGTAATGTGTAATGTAATGCGTAATGTAATGTAATGTAATGTAGTGTAATGAAATGCAATGCAATGCAATGCAATGCAATGCAATGCAATGTAATGTAATGTAATGTAATGTAATGTACTGTACTGTAATGTAATGTGAAGTGTAATGTGTACTGTAATGTAATGTGAAATGTAATGTAATGTAATGTAATGTAGTGTAATGTAATGTAATGTAATGTAATGTAATGTAATGTAATGTGTAATCTAATGTGTTGTGTAATGTAATGTAATGTAATGTAATGTAAATGTATAGTAATGTAAATGTAATGTGATGTAATGCAATGTAATGTGTAGTGTAATGTAATATGTAGTGTAATGTGTAGTAATGCGTAATGTAAATGTAATGTAATGTAATGTAAATGTAATGTAATGTAATGTAATGTAATGTAATGTAATGTAATGCAATGTGATGCAATGTAATGTAACGTGATGCAATGTAATGTAATGCAATGCAATACAATGTAATGTAATGTAATGTAATGTGCTTTAATGTAATGTAATGTAATGTAATGTATGTAATGTATGTAATGTATGTAATGTACGTAATGTATGAAATGAATGTAATGTAATGTAATGTAATGTAATGTAATGTAATATGTAATGTAATGTAATGTAATGCAATGTCATATGCAATGTAATGTAATATGGAATATGTAACGTAATATGTAATGTAATGTAATATGTAATGTAATGTAATATGTAATGTAATGTAATATGTAATGTAATGTAATGTAATGTAATGTAATGTAATGTAATATGTAATGTACTGTAATGTAATGTAATGTAGTGTAATATGTAACTACTGTATTGTACTGTAATGCAATGTAATGTAATATGTAATGTAATGCAATTACTGTATTGTAATGTATTGTAACCTAATGTGATGCAATGCAATGTAATGCAATGTAATGTAATGTAATGTAGTGTAGTGTAATGTAATGTAATGTATGTACATAAGTAATGTATGTATATATGCATGCATACATGCACACCTGCACACCTGCATACCTGTATACCTGCATACATGCAAACATGCACACATGCATACATGCATACTTTGCATACATGCATACCTGCATACCTGTATACACGCATACAGGCATGCATGCAGACATGTATACACGCACACATGCATACTTGCATACATGCATGCATGCACATATACAGGGTGTGACCATATATGCACATAGGTACATATCCACACAGGCATATGTGTTCTGGTTTCCCTAGAAAGTCGCTTGGAGTATTGCTGCTTCTAGAGCTTCGTTCCATTTCGGGCACTTGCTGCATCGTTTCTCCATCTTTTTCTTGTGCTTTGCCAGGTTTGCATCCCTGCAGCGACTTCTTTGCCCAGGCGTGGAAAAGTGAAACCCCTTGGTCCCTCTAACCAGGGTCCCTCAAGGGAACGGTTTCCAGTCAAAGGGTTTTGGGACCACTCAAAAGAGGGTTTGCACAGCTTGCCACTAGCTTTCATTGTTTCCAAGAGTGAGTAATGTCACTATGGGTCTGCAATGGTTCTCCCCTTCATGGCTCCAAATCTATTGTTAGCGCGGTCATACCTCGACAACGGGAGCTGTACTTTTTGCCTGCTCAAAGGAGATGTGTTGCTAGACAATCTCATGATGGGGCAACTGGCGGAATCGCTTCTTCCGAATTGAGGGTTTGGGCTTGCTTGCGCTATGTCCCCTGCAATGCCTGCTTGCTGTTGTTTGTCCTTCCTTCGGAGCAGGCCATTGCTTGAGTTGGCTTGTATTTCCTTCTAGTTTTAGACAAACTTTATCATGATTGTTGAGTATCGTTTTGTTGGCACTTTCGGCAATTGGAAGTGATCCGATACATCAAACCAACAGCCATAAGGCGAGCCTTCCGGGCAACAACCTGGAGTTTTGGCCTGGTTTTGCCTGACATGAGTTTTTAGGGTTTGGCAGGTTCCTTGAGTATGCAGGCAAGGGCTCATTTGCCGTATCGAGTCCCGATTCATGTCGTCTTTCATGTGGGCCAACATTGCCGAGTGCGAAAGACACGGCTTTGAACCGCCTTGTGGTTCGAACTCACGTTGCCCTTATACTCTACTGGGCAGGTACAGTTTTCTCACCCAGCAGTATTTGCACTGTATAGGTTTAGTCTACGCGCAATGTGCAATATGTTGGTCTTGGACATGCACAAGTGGATATGTGTAAGAGTACTCATTTCCCAGCCCCCCCCCCCCCCACAAAGTCTCAGGTCGCGCTGCGGCCGGCCGCCCTCACAGAGCAGACAACGCGCCAGAAGTGCATCGCTGAGGTGCGCGGGCTGAAGGAAGATAGGCCCCCGCAGCCCTTTGGTTTTCTATGGGGTTTCCCCCCGAACAACAGTCTCGGAGCTGTTTTAGGCGCCCTTTTCAAGTAAGCCTCAGCAAGGCTGAGGCCTTTGGTTCTTCCAAATCAGCCAGCTCTTTAAAACTTGCTTGTTTGCCAAAAGGGCTACTTTACGATTCTCGCTACCATCGCTAGGATGTCAAGACGTGTTCTCAATGCATCAAGTTTTAAAGGACATCCTGTGGACAGCTGCGGCTTTACGACGTTCTCATGCGGCCGAGCGGCTTTGAAACGAACATGCTTAATTGTGTTGGAGGAAGGGTAACGGGTTGTGTTGTTTCTGGCGTTGATCGATCTGAGCTGTAGATCAGCTAGACTTTGTAGCCGCACCTCTTTCGAACTCCCCATGTTCAAAAGCCGTCCGTTGGCAAAGCGAATGGTTCCCTGTATTTTGTGTGGGCATCAGGCAGTGATTCCGTGCAACATCAAAGACCCTGGAGTCTCGCATTGATTATTGGGCATGTCTGCCATCTCCAAATTGCTCCGCATGGCCCGCGAGGCCAGTGACATGAACAGCTTGCAGGCGACTTGTGGGCGGGTAGCTGGGCACTGGGGGCCAACATCTTGGGTAATTACAAGGACAAGGGGTAACATGGTGTTCAACACACACACACACACACATGTACTATATATATATATACATATATATAGAATCGACGTAGTTGCATGCACAATATGCATATCAAAGAGCTCTTACGGGGGCAATTGATCGTCACGCACACTTGCGAATCACTGCAGGGCTTTAGCAATTGCTTTTCAGGGAAACCCGCCGGTGGAAGATCCCAGCTCATTGGTAAGAAGTCACGCAGTCAGGCACTGGCTTTTCGATACCTGGGGCTTGTCAGATGTTTGGCGTGATTCATTCGATGCCCAGAGGCAACCGCAAGAAACGTGCAGGATGGGATTCTTGCTGCAGCACACGAAGTGAAGCGCATTCCGGTGTTTGGAGTGAGGACACTCGAGTCACGATTACCGGAGCACTTCCTGGAACAGGCCACGCTAGATATTGGCAAGTACTTGGACCCTTATCCCAACGGCCCAATGGCCGTGTGTGTTTGTGCGTGTGTAGGAATTGACATCAATATCGTGGGTACTGTGGAAAGCCCGGAATATTGCAAGTTCCGCATGATGGGCTACGCCCACCCTTTTCGCCGCAGCGCCGTCTGCAAGCGGACCCCTGTCCCCCGTGCACAATGTTGATGCCAGACTCGTAACCCGTCCTCCGAGGCCAGATAGTCATATGTCGGCAGTTCAACATTGTCTGTAGGGAGGGGGGCCCGCAGATGTCATGTAGCAGCTCTTCTCGGGAACGCACCCTGCATTTGTCTTGTCCGCACTTGCAATACTTCAGGGCATCAACAGTAGATGGAACCTAGCTGTTAGTGTGGTTTGAGCGTCAGGGGCAGAGTGTGTGCAAGTGCATATTTGCCTGCTCCGCCGCTGCCATTACCAACTTTCAGTCGAGCCCAGTCGTCGATGACAAGGATCCAAGGCGGCACATAGTGGGGCATTTCCTGGACAGGCCAATAGATTGAAACCAGAACAAGTCCATTTGCACCTTTTTGTTTGTTGCTGAAGTCCCAGACTTGTCCCTGTCAAAGCAGGCAGTACAAAGCCGGGCATGTGTCCTTTCAGGTCTGAACAAGGATGGTGCTGGTTTCAGTCCTAATCATTTGCAGTGCCATCTATTCGTCCAAAGGGACGAGCCTGGGAGCATCCTGCGCCAAAGTCAGAGCTCAGCTCAGACCCCCAAGACGGGGACGTCGACTTGCTTGCCGCCATGGGGACGTGCTGCAGTGAGCAGCAGATAGTGGAGGATATTTTTTTTCTGCCCGCGCGTCGCGTCGGACGGTCCCAAACACACTTGGGTTTGGGGAAGTTTTCTGCAAACCGCTGAACCCCCTTTAAAGGGCAACCACAAGGAGGTTGTTGACACACTAGGTGCTTAAGCAGGGTTGGCCCAAACCTGCCACGACCAAACACGGGTCGGAAAGGCGGAAACTCGCAATGTTGAAAGTGTGTCGTGTGATTTCTTCCTTTTGAGACAGGCAGGGGGGCACAAAGCTTTTATGAGATGTGGCCGACTGTTAAAGAGGGCCCACAGGTGGTTGATGGCACTTGTATATAGGAGCCGGAGCGAGGGAGAGAGAGCGAGAGAGAGAGAGAGAGAGAGATACGGAGAGCGACACGGTTCGACCGTCACTTGCATCGTGTACGATTCTGATTTCCCGATTGATGTCAGCCCGCTTGCCCACAACCTGTCCACGGCTGGACTGCAGCCAGAGAAAGAGAGAGAGAGAGAGACCGAGAGAGAGAGAGAAAGAAAGAAAGAAAGAAAGAAAGAAAGAAAGAAAGAAAGAAAGAAAGAAAGAAAGAAAGAAAGAACGAACGAACGAACGAAAGAAACTAATGAAAGAAAGAAATAAAGAAAGAAAGAAAGAAAGAAGGAAAGAAATAACGAAAGAAAGAAAAACGAAAGAAAGAAAAGAAAGACAGAAAGAAGGAACGAAATAAATAAACAACAAAAGAAAGAAATAAAGGACAAGAAAAGGAAAGAAAAGGAAAGGAAAGGAAGGGAAAGGAAAGAAAGAAAGACAAGACAAGACAGGACAAGAAAAGAAAAGGAAAGGAAAGGAAAGGAAGAAAAAAAAAGGAAGGAATTAAAGAAAGAAACAACGAAAGAAAGAAAGACAAGACAAGACAAGGAAAGAAAAGGAAAGGAAAGGAAGAAAAGAAGGAAGGAAGGAATGAACGAAAGAAACAACGAAAGAAAGAAAGAAAAGACAAGAAAAGGAAAGAAAAGGAAAGGAAAGGAAAGAAAGAAAGAAAGACAAGACAAGACAAGACATGACAAGAAAAGACAAGGAAAGGAAAGGAAAGAAAGAAAGAAAGAAAGAAAGAAAGAAAGAAGGAAATAAATAGAAGAAAGAAAGAAATGAATAAATAAAGAAAGACAGAAAGAAAAGAAAGAAAAATAAAGAAAGAAAGAAAGGAAGGAAGAATGACATAAATAAAGAAATAAATAAAGAAAGACAGAAAGAAAAGGAACGGAAAGAAAGAAAGACAGAAAGAAAGAAAGAACGATAGAAAGAAAGACAGAAAGACAGAAAGACAGAAAGAACAGAAAATGAATAAAGAAAGAAAGAAAGAAAGAACGAAAGAAAGAAAGAAAGGGACAGCGAAGAATCGTGCTGTCTGGACTAGCCAGCATGGAGAGCCTTTGGCCCGCTTGTTTGCTTCTGTGCACAGTGTATTGCTTTCTTGCTAGATGACCTAGAGCACAGACCACAGAAACTGCCTGCGCTTGCCTCAGCCACTCGAGGATACCCCGTTTCTGATCACGCGCTCCAACGAAGAGTTCGTCGTTGATGCTGCACGGCGAAAGCAAAGGCAGCCATGTGGTTTGTGTCTATGGGGGTGCTTCATTCGCATTGCCTCAAAGGGATTGAAGCCACTGGACATACCCATGCGGCGCAGCTCGCCGGTGCTTGAAGTGAAGTGCTAAAGCGTTCACTCATGAGAGCTTCTTCTCAAACAGGTGATGCATAAATCATGTCAGGCTCTTTTTCCCCCAGGGTTCTTGGATTTCGATTCTGAACCATTTTTCTCATGAGCCCTGTTTGTGCTTGGTCTGGCGCCGCCGTGCTTCCCTGCTCTCCAGTTTCAGCTCCGAAGCCCAGGCATTCACGCTGAAGGTTTTTGCCAGAACGATGTGGCCCATCCTGACCAAGTTCGGTGAAGGACGGTCAGTTTTTCAGTTTACCCATCAGCGGTTTGGATTGGAGGTTTGGGGGGTCGACCCGCTATTTTTTGTTTAGGCCAAAACAGATTCGCCCCTTGCCTTCAAAGCACTGATCCAATCATGGAGGTTGTTTGAGGTATTGGCATCAAGCAAGCCGGACACAGATGGGACATTGTTTTTTGGGACTGGGTTGTTGCAGCTTCATGGGTTGAAACGAGCGCCAATGTTTGGGGTCGCAGGGTGAAGTTATTATTGGACAGTAGGGCCCTAAGCCGCGCATTGCAGGGCTTGCGAGCTGCGCATTTTGGCGTGCTCTCTCAGTTGGGCCACGCAGATGCCGGTTTTGTGTTTGTTTTAGAACGATTAGCATGTGATTTGTTCCGCGTAACGGACATTTCATTCGAGGAGTGTTCTCTTCACTGCTCATTTTCCTGGCACGCCGAATATGTGGTTCGTCCAGCGAGTTTGCAGGAGTCGTCAAAGACGAGCTGATGCCCAAAGTCAATGCAAAGCTTCCTTCACATTTGGCCATCAGCGCCTCGGCCTGCTTTTGGGGGAAAGATGACGGCACGCGGCGCTTGCCGCACCTGTGACCTCAAGCCGGTCTGAAGTTTGGCCTTTGCCGATTGTGGCAGAGCGGTTGTCCTCTTTCTGGTTGGACGACGAATCGTATTTGTTTGAATCGTTCGTTTAGTGTGATACATGAGGAGAACGTAAATTTCGCAAGCCAGGCATGTCTCAAAGTTCAATGTGAGTGCACTCCCGTCATGGTTACCGGCCAAGTGCCAGTACCCTGTTTTCTTGTCTCATTAAAAATACGTTCTTTGCTGATTTTGTCTCGCCTGAGTTGTTTGTAATTCCGACCTGCCAGTCAGTTTACTGGCTGACTCTCCATCAACTAACTGAGCTGTGATGACTCATGTCCGAAACTTGTTCCTTGAGATGTTGCTGCAAGTTCACCTTGTGTCTAGAGCTCACCAAGACAATGCAGCAATTTCCAAAGTATTTCTTTGCCAACACACCCATCGTTGTATTCTGCCCTTTGTTCTTTCCACTTGATGCAGCGGGCTTCGACCAGTCAAACGTTTGCATGAAAGAATTGGAACCTGTTCACTTGGGGATGTATATTCATGGCCATTTGTCAAACTAGGAAGCCTTTTTGTCCACTTCGAAGGGAAATCGACATGACACCGACGATTTGGGAAAGGAAGGAGCGGAGCTGCCAGTGGAATTCCCTACACTCCTTCCTGGAAGACATAGATGTGGCAATGACTTGCAGGCATTCGAAGGTTCTCCCTCGGCGACAAGCCGCCCGAGTTTGGGCCTTTGAGGAGGGGCCGGGCATGGCATGCGAAGATCGCGAGACAACCCAAGCCCGGGCGAAGGGGACGGTAGCCAATTCAACCAGGCTGAAAACGGGCTGGCTTTGGGCGAATCTACCTAGTCGCCTAGGTGAAAGAAGCCGCAAGGGGATTATTTTTTTTTCCGGGCCCAACAAGAACTGCGCGGCTCAACTTATTGGAATATGCCTTTTGGACGGGATGCTGTGTGAAGGAGGTCACCCAGGTTTCCATGAGGCACCCAGGTTTCCATGAGGCACCGAGGTTCCATGAGGCACCCAGAGAGCAGCATTTAGCCCGTAGATCCTTGGCCTCAATTGCTGTTGGCAGGGTACAAACAACTCATACATTCTTACATCGCTTCGGGCAGCTTGTTCCTGCTTAGTAGAAGGCCGTCAATGTGAAACGTGTTGAAGAGATTACTGGTTCATCGCAGTATGGCCGGGCTTTCGAACATGGATGGCCTAGCTTGCAGCGTCCAGCAGTCCGCAAGGGATGAATCACGCAGGGGAGAAATATTGCCTGTAGCATTTGCTCCTTACACCACCTACCTCTCTCAGTCTCTCTCTGTGGGGTGGATGGGTGGGTGGGGTGGATGGGTGTGTAGGATAGGTGGTGTGTGTGTGTGTGTGTGTCTGTGTGTGTGTGTGCGTGCGCAACAAATACTTGGTTTCCTGTTAGTCTTCTAGCAATGCAGGCCCCCCCTAGACAAAGAATATACTCTGACTGTCTTATTGCAGGTTCTGTATTCTTCTCAGGTTGCTTGAGATTGGCCACAACATGTCATCTTTTGGTGGCAGCTTGAGTTGCCAGAAACTGAGGCCCCTCCGATCCCATTGAAGACCGTGCTTCAACTAGCTGACTGTTCAGTTGGGATCGGTCGAGATTGTTCATTCCGCACGTATTGAAGGGTCAAATGTCTGATTGTCACCCCCTGGATGAGATTCTGTGGGATTCTTTCTCAGATTCTACCTGACCGGTGCAGGCATCTGAAGCAGATGTTTTGCTTGAAGAAGCCAATCATTTGGAGGGGTCGATTCGCGGTCTTGACATTTTGACATACGCGCATGTAGCTCTGATGTGGCCATGTCAAACGAGATGCACTCTGCGCTGACAGCTGCGCCTCCTGTGTGTACCTTCAGCGTCGATTTAGAAGTGATTCGGGATGTTTTGGCATCACATTCATTTAGGACTGGTTGAGAGCCCCCATTGATAGGGGTGTTTCGTGGTGAACTAGCTTGCCAGCCTTCAAGAATCTCCACAAATGTCCAATGTTTCAGTCGTGGAAGGCAAATGACTCATGACCTTCCGAGAGATGCGGTGCTCAGCTTCAAACACGATTCTTCCACAGCTCATGAACAAATTTATGGATTATAGCATCACCAACATCATTTTTCTGTCCGTTGTTGAGATTCGAGCGAGATTGGCATTCTGGCAATCTATCATTTGTTTCGGGTACATGCATGCAAAACAACATTGGGTATGTGCGTTCAGATGTATGTTTATGCGGTTTTACGTTGTGTGTTCGGCCCTCACCCACACAGAGTGGTCCCAGCTACGGCACAGAAATGCCAAACTCCGGCTGCCCATGGGCTGTTGGAAGGCTGGTTGGGCTGTTGGAAGGCTGGTTGGGCTGTTGGAAGGCTGGTTGGGAAAGAGAAGCTCTATTTGGAAGCCACCAAGTCGTCCACCAAGTAGTCCACCAAGTAGTCCACCAAGTAGTTCACCAGGTAGTGGTTTTCTGCTAGTTGAGTCAGCAAGTTGGCCAGGTAGTCAAACCCATGCCTGATAGCTTGTATCCAATTCGTTGCCATGTGTGAGTTGTCAGGATCATCGAGACGACAAACGCCATTTTCACCCAGATTGACGACTCTGACCGTCCTCTTGCTTGCAATAGCGTGAGCACCGGGCAGGTGTTGCTTTGCTTCCAGGCTTTACGAGGTTTCCCTGAGCTTGCAATCCTATGGGCGTGGGGGATGTGGCAGGTTCCGTGGCTTTGAGCGCCTTCCGTCGATGAGCTATGGCTCGACATTTTTCGGAACGCTGGCAGTACAAGCCGGAGCCATTTCCTGGCCAGGACCATGTTTTCCACTATCCTGGTGGGTCTACCGGGCGAGGGCAGTCAGACTTACTCCCCCCTTGTTAGTCAAAGAGCACTGAGCACATCCGGACTGCGAGGTTTGGATGTCCGGAGTGCTTTTTGGTCCTTCAAATCTCACCAGGGGGTTACCAACGAAAACCGCCATTTGGTTTGTGCCTCAGTTTCAACTTTTGAAGGGATAGCCCTTTCGCTGAGGGATCCGCGCGCTTCTGCCAATCAGTTGGCAATCGGATGAGGAGATAGCAGTGGCGCCTTGGCCGTGGTCTTGGGACGTAGGTCTTGGGACGTAGGTCTTGGGTCCCTGAATGTACTGGGAGTATGGCACACATCCCCCTTTTCGGTAAACAATCCCCTTTACTCCCCCCCCGCAAGTATATGCCATCTTTCACGCTAGTGTAATTACATTTTGTTGGGCCTCCCAAAGTGGCAGCTTTATTGGAACCCTTTGTTCAGTGGCACCTTGAACAGGACTTGCGCGTCAGGCATGGGCAGTGGGTTTTGCTTTTGAAAAGAAAGCCCCCCCCGCGAAAAAAGCGCTCGCTCGGGTGCCATCATGGCAGTGGCAGTCAACGTGAATCCATGGCACTTGGATCGCTGCTTTATCTCGGCTGGATGAGCCACAAAGCATCACTGCATTATAGGTTGCAAATATTGTTTGGCTCAACTTCGGACTGCCTTGATCAAATGCCTGGGCCATCCAGCCGCGCTGCAGATGTTCCGACTGAAGATCAGACTCTCCCAAGCAATCCCTCCCAATAGGCATTTCTTGCAGCAGAATTCGTCAGCAACCCTCCAACCTCCAGCCCTCAAGCCGGTGAGCCCTCCGGCCCTTCAGCCCTCTCACCCGACATCATGCAGCCAATGTCCTTCTCAGAGGTACTCTCCCCATCCACTTGCATGGAACCCGCCAGAGGGTTCCTTTTGCTGGAAATTGTCTTCCAACCCCCCTCTCCCAGTTAGGCTCCAGGTTTGCGGATGGGTGGGGAATGGTAATATGTATTTTTGTGAGAACCATGCGGTGATCGGCTCCTTTCTGTACCCAGAACAAGGCCGCCCGTTGGATGTTCCGCACCAGAAGCTTCCGAGTAACGCACAAGCTGGGTATCAAGGAGCCCAATCCATGGGAAAAGTCATGCTCCCCAGGGCACAACACGGCCAAAGCAGGCAAGAGGGGTCGGCGGATTCACTGATCATGGACGGAATCATCCCCGTTTTATGCGGTTCCCACCGCGAAATCGGGCGGACACCGCAACCGAGATGGTGATGGGTCTCCCAGTGGGTGTCTGCTCCATCAAGGTGAGGGGAGAGCTCCTGGCCGCTTGGTACGTTTTCGGACGCAGGGTGCGAGCGTTGTGGGGGCGGGGGTTTGGTCAGGCTTGGGCAATGTAGATGCGTTATCGACTCTAGGGCTTTGGCTGTGGGTCAAAATCAATGGTACCATTTTGCACCACCCATTTTAGTCTATTTTAGTGGGGATTGGCATGTTCACTGCGGGTACCGGTTTTTGACCCATGGCCACATGGTCGTTGCATATGCAACAAGGGTCTTTCAAGGTTAAGCGGAACCTGATCGAATGCGCACCGGTGCCACCCCTGGCCAAGGGAATCTGATAATTGGGCCAAAAGTCGACGCGACGTTGCGCATCATGCTGGGTGAAAGGGAAGTAGGGACTTTTCTTCCCTCATGACCTGTCTTTGCCACAGGTTTCCAGACAGTACAGAGAGACAGACCAGCCCCAAGACACTTTGGACGATGACCGAACTTGGGAAGAGCGTCGCTCTGATGAAGTTTCAGTGCGCTGGAGAGTCATGCTGTGTGTCGGTTGGAACATCCCCTCTCAGATTTACCTTAGGCCTCCATCGGCCCTCAAGAGGGCCAAGAAGGGCGTTTCCTGAGGAGACCCCTGTAAATGCTTGCTTTTCTTCTGGTTTCCGGCAGCCAGCGTCAAACGAGGTTCCTCAATTTTTGGACATCCCCACTCCCCCCCTCACTACTTGACAAAACGATTTGTTTCGGGGCCACTCGTCTCAATCTTTACAACATTTGACAGTGGAACTCGGATTCCTGCTTTCATCCAGACATCAGTTTGGAGGAATAGAGATCCAATCCCTAGTGTTGTTGCAATTGAGGAAGCTGCCATCCTTAGAGTGCGTATATGAGAAACTAGCCTCCAACAGAAGGAAGTTGAAAGGACATGTTGCTTTTCTTTCTGTTGCTGCGCGAAGGTGCACCGCGCAGCTAATAAACAGTGGTAGGTTTTGCGACCAGGGCTCCCGTTCTTCTCCTTTTCTTTGGACGTCTGGAGGTCAAGAGGGCGTGGTTTTGATTGTCGTCCGCCTGAGGTGGATATGGGCCCGATCATGGACTCTTGGATCTGGATGGATGGGGAATATGCTTGTGCTTGTTGTATGCATACTCACCAAGTGCAAAACTCCCCCCCCCCTCCCAACACTCCGCCCCAAAGAAGTTAAGATCATGTTGGAGCTGGCAGGGGTAGTTGGGCCAAATTAAGCCAAATTAAGCCTAAGTAAGCTGAATGAAGCTTAGCCAAGCCTAATCAAGCAAATTTGAATGTTGCTCAATTAGGCTGAATTAGGCTTAATTAAGCTTTGTTGAGTCTGCCGAGCCCCGTCAACTGTGACATGGGCTGGTTTTGAGGGGCTTAATGAGTCAGACCTTACAGGTGAAGGAGAGGATTCGATCAATTGACGTTAATTCCGGGCAATCCGAGCTCTTAGGCTTGGTTAAGCTTAACCTGGCCTTAGCTTGTTTCATAACAGGTCACCCTGAGCGTCCGCATTTTCTGTGATTATTTTGATTCTTTCAGGAAACACATGTTTTCTTTGCATTTCTTTGGTCTTGTTTTTTGGCTTTCTCGTGTTTTTTTTTTGCATTTCTTTGGACACGTGTGAAAAACCTTGAGAACACCAACAAAAACAAGAAGGACTCGATCAACTGTCCTGATTTTTTTTTTTGGGGGGGGTATAACAAGTTTTGTTAGGGTTGTGCTGATTTGTTTTTTGCACTGCACCGTTTCCGGCCAGTTTGCAAGAGCTTCTGCAATCAAGTGCGCTGGTGTACTTCTTACCTTCTTCTTATTTTTAGTTAGAATTGCACACGTAGAACTTGCTAAGTATATTAAGTAGATTTCGTGAGAAGAACTTAGAGGTCCCAAAATTGGTAAAAGCACGTTGTTTAAATGTCTATTGGTTTGCAAAGACAATTCGTTGGGAAAGGAGATCCCGTGTTGCATTTATTTCGAAATAACATACTCATTATCAAAATTATACTTTAAACTTCAAAAACATGTTTGGATTCTTTCCTGACTAAATTCTCTTTAATGTGAGATAGATACCAGTAGAGACCGCGGAGCCGGTGAAAAATACAATTATAGAATTATAGTTATGTCTCTTTTTGGATTCTTGAAACTGTGTCTCTGCTTCTTCCTTTTCACTGTTCCTTCTTTTCTCCGTCATTATTTCTTTCTTTTTCTTTCTTCCTTCCTTCCTTTCTTTTCTTTCTTTTGCTCGTTTTTGCGCTGTTCTTTCTTTTTCCTCTTCTCTATCTATCTATCCGTCTATCCATCTATCCTTCTATCTATCTATCTATCTATCTTTCTATCTATCTATCTATCTATCTATCTATCTATCTATCTATCTATCCACCTTTTTTTACCTGTCTATCTACCCATCTCTATCTATCTAAGCTGTCTATCTATCTATGTATCTTTCTATCTATCTACAAAAACATACATATACATACATATCATACATATACATACATATACATATACATACATATACATACATATACATACATATACATACATATACATACATATACATACATATACATACATATACATACATATACATACATATACATACATATACATACATATACATACATATACATACATATACATACACATACATACATATACATACATATACATACATATACATACATATACATACATATACATACATATACATACATATACATACATATACATACATATACATACATATATTAGCAAGTGTAATGATATTTGCATACATCCTCCGCCAGTTTATCACTTTCCGGCATGATGCGGTATAGGGTTGGCTTCTCACTTGGCCATGTTTCTTCCACACACTGGATGGTTCCACGTGGACACGCAAGACCTGGCCCGTCTTCTGCGAGTTGGTGCCCAAGCCACATCCATGTGTCAAACCCAGGGTCTTTTGCTCGGGGTGTTCAAAGCGGACATGCCCACAAGGCCAAAGGTGACTTGATGAAAGAGGCGATGACGAGTTGGCGGTGTTGCCCACATAATTGGCAACCATGTTGGCAGCCATTGTCCGAAGAACACTTCGGACATGTGGATGAGGAAGTGGTGTTGGCATGGCTCATATCTTGGTACGCGAATCCTTGCATTTCTGGGTCCATGGCTAGTCTTGTCCCCTCTGCAATCATTGGCGACACCACATGCACAAACTCAAAGGGATGAGGTGGCCATGTTCCGCAATGAGCAGACAATGGGAGGTTGTCATGCGCCGGCTTGTTAAGAACACGGTTCAATGGGTGAGTCATCGCCTTCTCTTGTCTGGGGGTAAAACGACCTCACACATTTGAAAACGCAATACATTTGGTCGGTAAATGAATGGCACAGACATTTGCAGGCCCCGCATATTGTCAGCTCTCAGTTCGAGCGGCCGTTTCGGGCGTTCGTTCTTTTTTTGACTTTCTAAAACTACTTACAGGGGCAGGGTGCTTAGTAAGTCGTTAGTAAGCCTGGGTATTACACTTAGTAGACTTCTAACCATGATAACCATGATAACTTACTAGTACAATGCCCCTTTAAGTAGTGCATTCGAGGCAGCTGTTGCTCGTGGGCAACGGGAATTAGTTGCATCGCCCAGGACACCGCTCCTTTCATCGCCGGGGTTGGGTTCACGCTGCCAGATCCGCCGCAAATTGCGCCATGGCACACACCGCGCATGTAGAGAGGGGCGTGGTGAATCCGAATCCGAATTCCAGCCGGGCATTTTGTATTTTTGTTTGAGGGCCCTCTGAAATAAAGTCCACCAAGCAAATGGTGCCTCTTGTTTCCATAGTTAAAAAGAGGTCTGGCAACGCAGGGAACTGGACAAAACACAGTACGGGGAGGCCTTGATGGGAACCCAGATGAGCCTGCCCATGCGGGGTGCTCTCCACACAAGGGCAGCTAACCTTATTTTGGCTGTCTACTGCTGGCTTTGGCAGGAATTTGGGAGGAATTGGGGGGACAGCCGAAGTTTCCAAGAACAACCAGAGGGACAGCCCCAAAGTGCTGCCGATGTCCAATGTTTGTTGGAGCAAGTCCCCAATCAGTGCCTCTGAGCCGACCATGTCCTTTGTACGTTTAAGATAGGTCAGTCTGGCCGAACATAAATGGAATATGGGACTGGTGTCCTTCTCGCCATGTATACCAGTGTCATCTATCTGTCCAACGTGACAACTGGCGCAAGGATCTGCAAACCTTCTCGCGACGCGCTGAGGCGTTCGACCTGACAGGCGTTGCCAATGTTGGTGATCTGCCGCCGATCAAGCATGCCATCTACAAGCTGCCGCCCGGATGTGGTTTTGTGAGAAATCCGCGTGAGCAGCGCACAACATCTCTATTGGTTGGCTTGTTAGTAGGTGGTTCTACTACCTAGCGCTGCACATGTTTTGTTGGAGGCTTTGTGTTGCTTCACACCGATAAACAGAAAACACGTACGCAAGCACACACACACACACAAACACAAGCACACACACACACACACTTTCCAAAACGTAAACATACACAATCACACAGCCACAGCCACGCCTTGGCGCACACGCACACGCGCACGCCCCACCACAAGCACACGTACATGCACTCATGCCCGCACGCCGGGACGCCCGCGCTCACGCAGGCACGCAGGTACGCAGGCATGCGCGCATGCACATACGCATGCACATACACACCCACACCCACACTCACACTCACACCCACACCGTCACATGCACACACACACACACACAAACCCATGCGCGCCCACGCGCACACGACTGCAAGCGAGCAGTCGCACGCGCACTCGCACGCACGCTCGTACACACGTACAGACGCCGCGCGCGCGCACCCGCGATTCTTATTTTTCATGCTACACGGTGCTTACCAACCAAAATGTGACTCTACTACTAAACAAGCGTTCATGCGTGAGTTCTGGCCGTAATGTTTTGGGAAGATCACTCGGGTGGAACACGTGTTAGTTTGGACTTGGTGAGCAATCTCAAGACATGACATTGGCGACGCAAAGTAGCCAAGGATCGAGACCTTGATCGCGGAGCAGTTGGTGTTGCCCAACAGAATAGGCATCCCCACAGGCGGGCGGGGGGCTTAGAGCCGGCTCTGAGGCCAATATGCAAGGAAGATGGAGATCCCCTTGACATGGGAGCTGGCAAAGTGCACAAGCAAAGCTCTGGCTTGTGTTGAAGATCAAGTTTTGTCAGTTCGCACGATCACCCATCCGCCGCGCAATGGCACCATGCGCCGACCGGTTCTTATATGCAGGCTTTGACACACAAGCACAACGTACTGGCTCCAATTAATTTTTAGTCCATTCGTTTGCGATTGAACCAAAAACACCTGAGGTGACACTGGCTAGCACGCTCCTTATCTAAGCAACAAAGCGTTCATCACTGGCAGCTTTTCCAAGTGCTCCAACAGTACTTCAATGGCCTTCCAGGGTTCACAAGCTATGATGCCAGCTCAATCCTTCTGTGCGTGCAACTAGCCCATTTAAATTCTTAGTTCATTCCAGATATCGCAGGGGTCCCATTGGTAAGTTGCATAAATCCAGCGAAAGGAATAAGAAAGGAATTTGCCCAAACTAGAAATGGTATGACATGGTACCGCAATGCTGCTAGGCCCCAGCCAAGTGGGCGCGGGGAAGACTTGGGTTCCTGCCACAACCCACTGCTTACATTCCTACTTCAGCAATGCATTGTGTCTTGCGGCCCGGGCGACTTGACTGACGAATCACAGCTTTGCGTAGCCCCTGTCACAGAAGCTGCATAAGTGTGCTTTGCAATGTCTTGATGTTTCTGTTGTTTGAAACAAAAGGTGCCCGAATCAAGTCCGTGTTTGCAGGCAACAGGACGAATTAAATCGTGATTCGCAGGCAGTGCCTCTCGAAATATCCTTGGTGCAGGCTCCGGGTCCATTCAAATCTTCACTCGCACGGTCCAATTAATTATTTGTTCGAAGGCCATCGGTCCAATTAAATCCTCGCTCTCAGACGACGGGACAAATTAAACCCTTGTGCAACAGGACCAAGTCAAGCTGTATTCGCAAGCGACGGAGCCAGTTAAAATCCTGATTCTAAAGCAACGGGAGTACTTAAATCCTTATTTTCAAGCAACGTGACCAATTCAACCCTTATTCTCAAGCAACGGGACCGATGAACTCTTTATTCCCAAGCAACTTGACCAAGAAAGAACATTGTCGTAGGTAGCAGGTACAATTAAATCTCTACGAGCTCGAAAAATGCACACTGGCAAAGTGACAGAGGACAAGCGGGCAACAAGGCAGAGGGTGCCCAAGAGGGCAAGCGGGAAAGCGGGCAAGGTGGCCAGGCATCAGCAAGACGAGAAGGCAAAAAGGCAAACAAGACGGGGCAAGATGACAAACCGGCAAAAGAACAAAGCCAGCACGAGGGCAAGGCGACATTGCGGCAGCCAGGCAAGACGGCAAAAGGAAGGCCAGCGAGTCGGTAAGATGGTAAGAGGGCAAGGTGGTAAGGCGGGCCACAAGGGAACAAGACAGGAATGCAGAACGGAAAGAGGGCAAGCGCGCTTCAAGCGGGAAAGCTAGCCAGGCACAACATGACAAATTTCAACATGGCAAGAGGGCGAAGGTGCAAGATGGCAAGAGGGCGAGAGGGAACTGCAGGCAAGAGGGTAAGGCGGCAAGGTGGCAAAAGAGCAAGTGGGCGGAGGACAATAGCCCCAGAGGGCGAGAGCCTGTGATGGCCGCTCCTGGCTGCTCTTGCGGAATCTGACGACATTTGCGACTTGAATGTGCAAAGGGCAGTTTTCAAAATGACGATCGCATTTTAGATGTGGTTTGCGCACTGCCATGTTTGCGTCTAGGAGGGTCCATCTTTCTTTCAGCTTGAGCCAAGCTGCCTATCCCGCGTTCACATCTCAGCAGCTGTTGCGAGTAAACGGTGAGCGCACCCGCTCGAGTCGAGTGCACCCGTTCAGCACTCCATACACGCCTGCCAAATAGCAAGAACACCCTCTCAAGTGCACTCGCTCAACTGTATGGGAAGCGTTCGCTGGTGAGGAGTGGCTTTTGCTTGGAAGTCCGTTCAAAACTTTGAAGCTTTGGTTGTTTTTTGCTGTCTTTGCTTCGCCACTCAGCTGGAGCGGCGGGCCATGGAAGACAGTCTCGCGCCTTGTGTCTGATCACTCGGCTGAAAACAGATCTTACATTGAGGCTTTGAAGAATGCCCCCTTTTTTCTCAAATCGTGCGGCGTCTAGGCGAAAATTATTCTGCAAGCGCGCCCGTCGTGATGTACATAAATACATATATTTGTATATATTATTAAGGTTGCCGGCTGCAATTTTTTGTGGCACCCGGTTTGTTTGTTTTTTGTCCGACATTTGGTATCTAGAATTTCTTCACACTACTCTTTGGAATTTCCCGTTGTTTTCTTTTTTGTGTCCCGTCTCCTGCCAGAATACATCGGGGCCGACCCCTGGGTGGTCAAGAACCCGGCGCCCATCGGATTGCTGCGCATCAATGCCGCCTTGCTTGGCTCGGCTTTGGGGGTCAGGAGGGAATGGGTCTGAGAGGCGCGTGTATGTTTTTGGAGGGTGCCCTTTTGAAAGGCTGGTTTCAAGGGAACCACATGTTTATTGTTTTGTTTTTGTTGGGGGGGGTGTTCCCCTGTTTCACCTGGCTGCTTTCCATCCAACAGGAAGGCTGACAGAAGCTTTCTTAAAAGGGTCCGGGCTCGCCCTCAAGTTTCAGCTCAACCCCAGAGATGTTTGCTGGGGCGAATCCAGGGCTTTAAGAGTTCTGCTCGCAGGCCATGCTTGCCACTCTTGAGATGTTCCACGTGTTTCCTACCCTCCCAAAAACAATCGTGAAGCCTGACAGCGGTTCTCTTTGCACTGAGCGTAGTTGTGCAAGCTCTCTCGTTCAGATTCCGTGTGTAGTTTTCGGAGGCTACACATCAGCCGCCAAGTGAGGCTTCTCCATGAGGCGGCAGTTGGCAGATCCCTGCCCCGTAATCAATGTATAGGGAGGCTGGTGCAACTCCATTCTGGGGCTGTTTATACAATTTCCAGGGTTTCTCTTGGTGAGTGTGTTTTTCTTGGGGCATCCTCATGGTTTTTTTTCCAGTTAGAGATGACTGCAAGTGTCACGAATGCGGTGCGCCTTTTTTTGAGGGCACCCGGGCCAAGCACTGCAACCAAGACATCGGCTCCCAGTGATCACCGCTGCCGGGAACCCACCCCCCGAATTCGGTTGCATAGGAATTCGGTTGCAATGTGTGATGTGAGGTTTTGGGTTCCAAGATTCTTGCTCGAGCTTCCCCCAGTTGCGCAGTTCCACGCTTGTTCATATGCTGACTCCCGCTCCAAATTGCATACCCGGCCCCAGTAACCTGTCACCTGACGGTTGCAAGAGGAACACGGTTTAGGGACCCCCGCTTCCTTCCGGGTCCGCCTGTTTGGGAAGAAACCCTGCACGATTCAGGAACCCTTATCTTGCTGGTGCACAGGGAATGACCCAGAGTTTTGGGAATGTAACACTCTTCCGCTTGAGGTGGTGAGCGCCTCGAATTTGCCCTCGGAGGCGCGGTGGGTTTCGATGTTCCATTTCTTTTGAAAGCCTCAAACAAGGGTGTGGGACCCTGATAAACCATGAATCCATGTGTGTACTTTTCGAGAAGGGCGCAAGTGGGGAAGTATGCACGTGGATCAGCGTGAGAGCGCGACTGAATGTTGCTTACTGCTCCGTAGCAGCTGTGCCTTTGTCTTCTTCAGAGCGGCATCCGTGCGTTTGTTTACTTTGCATTCCAAGACCGCTGAGACAGTATTTCGCGCACACATCTCTCGCAGACAGGAGCAAAGCCTTGAAGGCGAGGCTCAAGTGTTGAAGTGCTCTTTGACATTCTTCCAGACCACCGCCAGGACATGACAGGGCAAAGCGATCCCTTCGTCGAGGCACCCGCGGATTGCAACCTATGGGGATGGTGGGGCCATGCCATGTCCCTCCGCCAACAAATGTGTTTGAGTTATCCGAATCCAGAAGCACCCACATGGCGAAGTCATGCCGAGGCTTGCAGCTTGTCAGATTTGCTTTTTGCCGACTTGTGACTGCCGGCTCCATAAACGCTCTTGGCAGAAGGACGCCCTGGAAGTTGTTTTTGCTCAATGTTGAGTTCCCGGAAACGAGATGCGCGGAAGCATCAGTGACTGATGTGCACCACTGCCTCAAAGTTTAAATGGATCCAAAGAAGCAGTTGGTTCATGTCCGAAAGGGGGCATTGGCACTTTCCCTAAGATGGCTGAAGGTTTTCGAAGTACGTGCCCGAGCGTTGACCGAGGTGAAGATTGGCTACAGCGACAAGGACTTTACGTCCAAGGCCGCTAGCCGCGAGCCGACCCTTTGCCGGCTGTGGTCAAAAAACAGTTGCTAGGCGGGTGGGGCGGGAGGTTTGCCCACCAAGGTCAGTCTGTCTGTCAGTCTGTCAGTCAGTCAGTCAGACAGTCTGTCAGTCTGTCAGTCTGTCAGTCTGTCAGTCTGTCAGTCTGTCAGTCTGTCAGTGTGTCAGTCAGTCAGTCAGTCAGACAGTCTGTCAGTCTGTCAGTCTGTCAGTCTGTCAGTCTGTCAGTCTGTCAGTCTGTCAGTCTGTCAGTCAGTCTGTCAGTCTGTCAGTCTGTCAGTCTGTCAGTCTGTCAGTCTGTCAGTCTGTCAGTCTGTCAGTCCGCCAGTCTGCCAGTCTGTCAGTCTGTCAGTCAGTCAGTCAGTCAGTCTGTCAGTCTGTCAGTCTGCCAGTCTGTCAGTCTGTCAGTGTGTCAGTCTGTCAGTCTGTCAGCCTGTCAGTCTGTCAGTCTGTCAGTCTGTCAGTCTGTCAGTCTGTCGCCAGTCTCAGTCTGTCAGTCTGTCAGTCTGTCAGTCTGTCAGTCAGTCAGTCAGTCTGTCAGTCTGTCAGTCTGCCAGTCTGTCAGTCTGTCAGTCTGTCAGTCTGTCAGTCTGTCAGTCTGTCAGTCTGTCAGTCTGTCAGTCTGTCAGTCTGTCAGTCTGTCAGTCTGTCAGTCTGTCAGTCTGTCAGTCTGTCAGTCTGTCAGTCAGTCTGTCAGTCTGTCAGTCTGTCAGTCTGTCAGTCTGTCAGTCTGTCAGTCTGTCAGTCTGTCAGTCTGTCAGTCTGTCAGTCTGTCAGTCTGTCAGTCTGTCAGTCTGTCAGTCTGTCAGTCTGTCGGTCTGTCAGTCTGTCAGTCTGTCAGTTTGTCTTTCTATGATTGTTTTTGGTTTGCTTGTTATGCTTTGTTTGGGTTTGTGTTGGTTTGTTTTGCTTCATGTAGTTTTGGCTTGTTTTGGTTTGGCGTGGCTTGGCTTGGCTTGTTTCTTTCTTTGTTTGTTTGTTTGTTTGTTTGTTTGTTTGTGTGTTCGTTCGTTTGTGAGTTTGTTCGCTGCATTTTGCCCTACGGCCCCATCAAGACCTCCAAGCCCACCCCATACCCTCCTCGGCAAGCGCCCTTCAGATGCCCACCCTGCCGTGGTACATGTTTGTCCCTTTATCACTCATCGCCGTTTTTGAACTTCCCTTGGTGGCTCCCAGCCATCCCCTTTTAACCCACCAAAAGTTAAACTTGTAGCGGGGGATCCGAGGACAGCCCAGTTCCCTCGTGAATTGCCGCCGGCGTCCTTTCCACAACAGGCTCTGCGATCCCTGCCAAAAAAAAGTGGCGCCGAGGGCAGACCACATGTTGCAGATGTCACTTGGATGTTTCCAGGAAGCATCAACCGCTGGCTTTTTGCGCATGCGTGTCAGTCATCTCAGTTCAGGGTTTTTGGCTGCTGGCCCTTTGTGAATGTGATACTCATGAGGCCAAGCGCAGGATTGCCATCCAAGCTGCTTTGCTAGCCTTGGCAGGTGATCAATGATCAAACGTCGCCAGTCTGGAATGAGCAAACTGCATTCTTCCCGCGCCTAGGTTGCAGCTCAGAGGTCAGGTCGCATGTACGTGGATGGCAGGGTACTAAAGCTGCAATTGAGGGGAAGACGTTGGGTATACTGACCTGCTTATGATTAAGAATGGGGCGGGGATGGGGGTTGTCACGAACGTCCGATGTTATTGGGCGAATGGAAGTTGAGCACGGCTCACATGGGAGTGTGGCAGCTTCGTGGGCGCATTGTGGTAACAAGCAATTGGGGCGGCCCATGAGGGACCCCAAACTTGTTCACTTCAATGAAAGAGGAAGCTCCGTACCTTCCATTGGCACGTTTTGCATCCGCTTGGATCCCACTGAGCCCAGAACCCCAAGTGCTACCTGGATAAACGACCGAACCAGCAAGTCAATGTTCCTGAACCTACTCCAGTCGATTCCGCGTCTGAATGGTCATTGAGCTGCTTTACACAGCCTCAGGCCGAACAGTTGCAAGACATTTAGGGCGTGTTTGACGCTCCAGCTTGCCTGAACTGGACCTAGGCAATGCATGAGGCAATACATGACTTCGCACATGCGCCCCCCTCCCCCCCCCCCACCCGCAACATTTCCAGCCGCTGGACTCTTGGGAAGTGCTGCGCATGCTCAGGGTGTATTCACTCTTCCAGCGTCTTCACGTCCATATCTACGATAGCGACTTCTGGACCCCCCACGCAGCTTGGTTCGGCGGGTAGCCTTCCCAGGCTTTGGCTCCTTCCGGGGATCTTTGGGAAGCGGACTCAGGAGAATGCTCAACTGGGTAACTTATGCATTGTCCAGCCAAGATTCTCAGAGAGGCAGGATCAGCTTTACTCTTCCCCGGCTACCGCGCAGATTCCAAGGATCACAAGAGTTTGCCAGGCAGTTTGCTCAGATTACTGCATGTGTCTTCTTGTTTTGTCAGAATGCTTGGCCTTGTTACATCGGTCGAGTCACAGTTTCGGACAAACCTGTGAACTTACAACTTAGATCAGAGAGCGCTCAGCAGGGGACGCCGTAACGGGTTTGGATTTCAGGCAGGTGCTGGGAGGCGCGCGAGCCAAAAAAAACAAAACTGCCTCAGGGTTTCCCGGGAAAACGGCCCACTTGCGCGATGCCCCTTGAAGGGCCCCGAAGTTAGGCACTGATTAGAATGGATGAATTGCAGCAACCCATTTCTGGATTCAACCCATCCCCTGTCTCCAGTTGGCCGGCTAAAGGCATTCTTGGTTTGACATTGACGGAAGACCAATTCCCTCAACATGGGCATTTCCCAGCACCCCATTCCACCAGCCACATCGAGGTTCATAATTCTACTAGCCGCATTCAGGTTCTAAAAGACTGGCCGCTTTTGTATTTACTTAACCAGGGCATGCTTCTGTAGTGATACTGGCGATCAGCAGACATCTATGGGCAGTTGCGCCCTCATCTTTGTCAGAAGCTCCCATGCCGAACACTTTTCAGGCGGTCCCTGTTCCGGACATGGCAGTTTTGTGCTGTTCTCCTTGCTTCCCCGTCACAGGGAGGAAGTTTAGTTTAAAGAGTATGCCCTAGAATAAACACATGGCTAGCCAGTCGGCCCCTCCAGGATGAGTAGGGCATTTCGAGGACTGACATGGTTCCAGGTTCCCTCGGTGCTCGGTGTAGGGTAAGGCTGCACCGAAGCGCGCCGCGTGAAGAAGTCTTTACTTCGGCGCCCCGAAGTAAAACCATCACCCCCGAAGCGTCTCTCATGGGATCGATCGGCTTGAGACCCGTGGCGATGGCACTCAGGACTCCATCGGTCAAATCCAAGAGCTGCGGGTCCATGACGTGATCTTGCTCGACGGGCCCAAGGAGAAATGGAGAAAGCTCGCTTTGGGCTCGGCATGTTAGGCTTTCTTTCGTTCAAGCTCCCTACCTGGGATTGGCCAGCTCGGGCATGTAGCTTTAAAGGTGGGACTGATTCGAAAGGAAGGAATGCCCTTGAGGCACGCCTCAGGGTAGGGTGCGTTCTAGGCAACCACGCCCTGTGCGGAACTGTTTTTGGCTCGGCCGATTTTCAGCTGGGTTTCGGAGCATTGTCCCAAACGATCAAGCCGTGTGTCACCCAGCCATCCTAATGAGAACAAGAAACACAAACATCCTATGTTCACGGGCTAGATATGTTTTGAGTTTGGGAAACCTAATTTGACAGGGAGAATTGGAGCAAGGGTTTGGCTTTGCTTTCAGGCATAGGTTTGGTTGGAGCTGGGTTGGAGTCAGACGTGGGTTGGCTGGTTAAGGGTTGTTTCAGACTTGGCCAATTCCTTTTGGTAGACAAAAAAATGTGTGAGGCGCGGGAACAACATCCCTGGCATCACGTAGACCACTTTCCGCTGAGCAGTCAAAGCAAGCATGAGTTGAACTGCTAGGTTGATTTGAAGCCGATTGATTTGATGTGCTTGGGGCGGGGCTGTCTTTTAAGCTGGCTCACGTCTTTGTGTCAGCTTCGCAGGAAAAAAACCGCACAGGCAACGAAACGAAGACTACAAAAAACCAAGTGCTCAGAGCGAAATAAAGACCTGAATGCCATTCGTCCCTACGCAGCAGCTGCCAATTTGTTGCATCCGGGATTGTCAACGCAGGGCTTTCCATTTGCCACAGCATGAACCCGCAGAGGTGCTGGCAATAAGAGGACAAACAACTGCTCTGGCACAAGCATCTCTACGGTTGCATTACAAGCGCGTGAGTCAGCCAATTTTATGTTGCGCAACAGCCGTCATCAATGATTTCTAACCCCATGACACATACCTCTTGACATAGGCTCATAGAAACAGCGTGTAATCTGCTTGAATCAGCTCGGGCTTGGTATAGGCATGGTCCAGTTACAAGCCCATTCTTCATGATTGCCACGATCACGCGAGTTATATGTGGTCTAGTTGCATATTCACGCTGACATGGGGCAACTTTGCGCCTAGCCCCTTTCCTTGCCCTTGTTTCCCAAAGCAAGTTGGTCAACGGAATCGTCGTACCACGGTTTTCCGCTCTTTGTTTTGACCCTCTTTCTTGGCCAATGGCTGTTTTTGCACTTCTAGCGGGGGTTAGTTCGACCAATTCAGACACGGCTTCGCAGGACTTCCCACTTCATCGGGCGGATGGCAAACAAGTGCCCAAAGCCACAGCCAGCTGGCCAAAAGGTGACGGTATAGTCCGTCACGTCAAAAGCAGCGTGGAAGGACGAAATCCTGTACCACCTAAGAAACCCTGGAATGATGATTCCCCCGCAAATACCAACCAGCAATGGTTTCCCATGGTTTCAAAGTGGTGCAGGATTTTCGTCCATCCACAGTGTGCTTTCAGGGTTTGGTGGTTTTGACATTTGGCAGGTGTGGCGGACCATTGGTGTGGAATTTACCGACATGAATAGATTCCCGTGCCGAGGCTTGCTTGGCAGGACTTGTCAAACAGTTGGTTAATTTGCATGGTTCACCCAGACTATTTCTCAGACCGTCAAGCAACTGGTTCTTAGAAAGGAACCGTTAGGCCACTGAAACAATGGAGCGGTTCAGCAGCGCGGCTCAGCACTTTGGGGCTGGTTCGACGAATTTCGATCTCGACGCCTTTTCATGGCTCGTGGCTTGTGGTCACACCCAACCACATGCGGACTTAGTGTGCTGGACGGACACTGGACACGATCCTCTTCAGCCTTCGCATACATAACTCTAGGGGTTGCTTCCCCATTCTTTTCAGCCATCGTTCTTTTCAAAACACCGGCCATGTCCCCCGGGTTTTCTTCTCCGCGGTTTCCTAGACAGATTCTTTGATTTCTTGGGATCAGAATGGGAATCGTTTCCCCCAATAAAAGCGGTGCTCAATCCAGACTGGTTCCCAATGGTCTGCCCAGATTCGGATCTTAGCCCTACCCGTCCTTCGTCAGATGAAGCTGGGCTTCGAGTGGCTGGAGCTGAAGCCGGCGCTCATGACGGACAGGGTGCCTGTGGCCGTGGATGTCTACAACCTCTCCGCGGCTTGGATTCGAGGAGTGGGCTTCCAGTTGCGTTGTCTTTTTTTTTTGTGTGTGTGTGTGTTTGTTTTTTGTGGTTGTCTTGTTTTGTCCCCCTTTTGGCCTTTAAAGGGAATCTATCCGGGGGGATTCACCAAGTTGAAGTGGGCTGAGAAGCTGTGAAGCATCAAGCCAGTCAGATTCATCTTCTTTTTGTTCCACCATTTCTCAAAAAAAAACAACGAAGCACCATCATCCCTCACCTGCCATTCCTGCCAAATTTCTGGTTGTTTGCCATGTTGAGGATACCAGGATAACGTTAAACGTTCGTGCAAAGAACCATTTTGATTGCCAGCTATGTTGGTTGCATGCGTGGCACATGCTTTGTTAGCAAGGGGGCTGGCCATTATGCTGGCTTCTTTGGGCACGTGTTGAGGGTCTGGAATGAAGCGCTCCGACTTTTTCAGTTCTTGTATATATATATATATTTCCCATGAGTATTCTGTCAAACTGCAAAACTGTGGCATTCTACCAGTTTGTTGACTTTTATATGTTGTTCTACCCCTCTGTTGAATGCAAACCTCATCGCTGGCCAGGGCCTATGAGAATCTGGAAACAAAGCACAAAGTGCCAACTACAAGATATCCCCACGCGGGTCGGCCGTTCCGTCTTGTTGCGCCGGGGTTTGTGAAAATGGCAACCTTTTGGCGATTGCGCATACAGGCAGTTTGAAACTGTTTGCAAGTGACGGCAGAAGCCAATCGCATTACACGCCGGAATGAAGGCGACAAGTTGCATAATCGTTGCACCTCGGCCAGTATTCCTTTGGCTGGCTGCGATGAGGCCGAGGCGAATTAAGTGTCAAGAGGCCCGGTCATTCGAAGATTCCAAGGACGAATAGCCAGCCCATGCCACGGACTGTAATGATCGTCATAACAGTTCCTCGTTCAGGAGAGTGATCCTTTGCATTTGGGCCAATTCGACATTGAAATTAGAAGACATTGTTGGCTGTAGCCACTTCTTCGCCCCATGGCGGCGGAGTTGGGGGGCTGGAGGTGGTGCCCGTTTTCCCACCCACATGCACACCCGCACGCACGTACGCGCGCACGTATGCGCAGCACGCACGCGGGCATCTGCACCCATACAAGCACGTTCTTCCGAGAAGTGCGCAACACACGCAAACACCTGCTTTTTTGCCGGCCACATCTAGGTAGTCATCGACAAGATCATTGCCAGCTCTGCTCATCGACGGAAGGCAGGGCTATGGAAGAGAGGACTCAAGGGCTCCCGAGGCTCTTGAGCCCAGTTGAGCAGCGTAAGCCGCTTGAAATTAGTATTCGTGAGGGGTCTAGCGTTTTCAGTTTGTTTCTTGGGCGAAAGGCCGTGAACAAAGTTTGCGAAAGGGTTTCTCATGTACTTGCTCGCGAAAGGCTAGGACAAGCGACACGATTTTTGTGTGTTTGGTTGCTTGCAGGACAAACTCACCCACGGACAAACGCTTTTGACGCGCCATGTTCCTTCCAGGTTGCTATGAGTCGCCGAATCCAGTGCCAATCAGCCCAAGCATCCCAAGCTAAAGAATATTGCCCCCGCAAGAGAGCAAAAACCAAACTTCAACACTATGTTCCTCTCCACGAAAGCGCCGCGAAAACAATTGCCTCGTCAAAACACGAAAGAAATCTTTGCGCGGCAGCATCGCGAAGGTCTTCGCGAAAGGGGTGACGTTTCCCTTCGGCAACTGGGTCTAGAACACAGCTCAATTGTCGAAGGTGCTCAGATCGGACATCCAAGGGGCCCTACCAGATCGAACTTGTATGGCCTTGCCATGCCTAGGGAACTTCCACGAGGGTGTATTTTTGGGCCATTGTCACATCACAGCCGAAAGGGTCCCTAGTTGCTTAGGCCCTAGTTACGCATTTTCACACGTCTACAGTTTCGTGAAGGACACAACCAACATTTTGTTGCAAAGGCTGTATTTGTTTTATTCCAGTGATAACAGCATGCTGGCATGCGAATGCGCATGTGCATGTTTTTCTAGGGCCTGGTACAAGTCATGGCAATAGGTTTATTCATCGGTGCTACTCAAAATATGTGGATGTGCTTGAAGGAGAGTGCAGGGGTGGAACGAAGGTTGTTTCACCTTTTCACTTCCCTCATAGGCTGTGAGCGGAAGGCCAAGCAACAGCTCCAAGTCTGAATGAGAATAGAAGCTCTCACACGGGCAAGCCGAAGCACGGCGAAGTGGCTGAAGTACCCTGCCCAGGGCTATTACATCTCTGGCCAGATCGACGCCCGTGAAGAGGGCGCGAAGGAGGACACCAAAGCGCTTCAGCAGCATTCCGCGTAATTATCTTGCCGTCCAGCCTTGAGATTTGCTTGTAATGCTGGGCTGGCTTGATTGTGGGATAAGAAGCAACATCCGGAACGCCTGGCCTTTGTCTCTACGAGGGAACTCAGCTTTCGGACTCTCAAACCACCGATTGGATGGCTTGAAGCTCCTCCAGCGCACAACAACGACACTTCGCAAGAGTCAATCAGCGAATTGTACACTTCGGGTTTCCTTGAATTCATTGAATGACACAACTGCCTTCTTTGACACCTGAAAGAAACTTGCTGGGCTGGAGGCAACATGACAGCATTCACCAAGATGGGGCCAAGCAATGTCGATGGTTTGAATGTGGATATGGAATCATAGTACCGCAGGATGAAACAAGACATAGCTTGCCTGTTGAAGTTTTGGCACAGAGAATCGAAGCTCAAGCTGGCTGAGGTCATGGAGTTTACCACCGCTCAAGCAACAGAGTCGGCGGGGCATAGAGATCAGTTCGTCTACGCCAGTGTGCTGACCAAGATGGAAGAGCCCTGCTCGCATTCAGCTTACAATCTTGCTAAGCTGCAAATTTCGCAGCTGGCACAGTCGAGTTGCTTGCGTCTTTTGAAGAGCCTGGATTATCCCACCCAAACCCCCAAAGACAACAAGCGCCACCGTGAACCAATTTTGAAGACCACTTCGAAATCAAACCAAAACCCTTCAGAAACGCCCCTGAGCCTCCTGAACCACCCTCTAACCCTACGCGAAGCGTGCAGAAATATTGAATCCACTGAGCCATCCGAAACCTGCCTCAATTCATTTGAAACCTACCCTAAGCCACCCTATGCCAAATTAGATCATGCACCCAACTAATTTGGGCCTGAAACCTACCACAATCCATCCCGAGCCAATCTTAAACTCTGACTACCCAAGCCCAAACACACCCTGAGCCCACTCGAATCAGACCCAAAGACAAAGTCGCTTTCACCAAACCCTTGGGAGGCCCCAAACCCACGGGTCCCAATCTGAAACTCCACCTGAACCTGGCCTATTCCCAGCCATCAGCCGCAAGACCAACATCAATCAGCCCAAACCGATTTTAGATCCATCCCAAGCTCAACCCGAATCCATCCTTAACCATCCGAAGCTACCTTGTACATCATGACAAGCCTCTCTAAACCCAGCCTGACCCCAAGTGGCAGCTTTCCCCCTCGCGTGATTTTGCGAACGCTGGCGTTGCTGGGACGTGTTTACAGGGAACCAACATGGAACCGAACATCCTGGCGGGTTCAACTTCTTTTTGATGATGATTTGCGGAACGAGACACAAGTACATCCGGTGAGAACACCTCCGACTGGCACCATGCATTGGAGTGGCACTGCCCCAAGGAGCACAAGATGAGCGTTGAACAGCAGTCAGCCATAACAGGCGCGCTGAGTTGACTAACATCGCGCTTGCCGTTGCGAGCCGTGCAAATGAAATGGCCCCGGAAGGAAGCATTGGAGTTCCAGCCACTAAGTGACACACGGTGGGCGACTAGACCGAATTCAGTTGTGACTTTTCTGATTGGCCAGTACCATCCTTGAAATGAGAACACCCCCCAACTCAATCCATCAGCCGAAAGGAGCACATCCAGAAAGATAGATCAAATGTGTGGCTGGAGTGTCTAAAGGGAAGTCGGCAAATCATGTAGTGCCTGGCATTGCTCCCAAAAGTTTGGTTTGTGCGAACCAGCCACGTGGGATTTTCTTGGATGCCTGGCGTGCATCGCAACTGGCCTGGTTTCATCGCGACTCGGGCAGAAGTGCTGGCCCCAGAAGTAGCAATGCTATTGTAGCCTGTTGTCCCAACAAGCATCCTCAGTTGCGCTTTTTCAGGGGTACACGGCAAGACGTTGCATCCTTTGCAACACGCGGCAGTGAGGCGTAGTCTTCGCATGGTGTGAGCATCACTGCATTGAACAGCTGTGTAGTGCAACGGTCAACATTCACCGCCATCCACTGGTTTCAGAAAATAGCATGGGCACACACACAATCCCATTCCGGGTGGAGGCACACTACATATCCCAGTTGCCCAGTGGTGCCCTTTTCTCCATTTTTTTGGGGAAGGGTTCCCCTTTAAAGTCAGCAAACCAAAAAAGGCTGCCCTTTTTTCCCCGTGGCCACTGGGCATCTGAGATTTTGACACCGGCTCACGTCCATGGGGATGGGCCCCCGAGCGCAGGCCTCACCGTGGAGGAGATCAAAGCCTTTCAGATGGGTATTCCGCCGAACCACCTAGTGCTCCTTGGGTACAAATCGGCCGGGGCGTGTTTGGAGGGAACCCCAGTTTTTTGTACTGCAAAGGCTGGTTTTCCTTTTGCTTTTCCTGGTTTTCTGTTGGTTTCCTGTTGGAATTTTCGTTCTTTCGGTCTGTCAGGTTTTGGTATCGCCTCTATTGGCAGCACCCTTCCTTGAACTCGCTCATAAGGAAGCTGGTGAATAGCACTTCGAAAATAATAAACTTCGAGCAGTTCATTTGGAATACGAAGCGGATCCGAACTTTCCAAATGTCTTTATCTCTGAACTGATGGTGGAACGTCGTTCGCCGCATCAGAGCTTCATCCGAACCCACTTTGCTAAAGCGTCCCCTTGGTTCTCCTTCATTTCCCCCCTTCATTTCCCCTTGGTTTCCCCTTGGTTTCGCCTTGGTTTCGCCTTAGTTCTCTCTCGGTTTTCCCTTGGTTTTCCCTCGGTGTAACGCCTTAGGAGTCTCCGATGGAGTCATCCATAGCAGAATTTCTTGAAAGCTCGGCTGGCAACCGAGCTGTCGCTAGAAGCTACTTGGTGGAACAAGAAGATGTAGCGCGCGTGCGTGTGTGGCGTGTGTGGCGTGTGTGGCGTGTGTGGCGTGCGTGGCGTGCGTGGCGTGCGTGGCGTGGCGTGGCGTGGCGTGGCGTGGCGTGGCGTGGCGTGGCGTGGCGTGGCGTGGCGTGGCGTGGCGTGGCGTGGCGTGGCGTGGCGTGGCGTGGCGTGGCGTGGCGTGGCGTGGCGTGGCGTGGCGGTTGGCGTCTTATGGCGTCTTATCTTATCGGGCGTGTGTGGCAATCTGCTAAATTTGGTGTTTGGAAGCCAGCGAGCCAAACGTTGTTGAGCAACCAAGTGCCCCTGTGTTCACGCGTGCGTCTCCGTCTCACGCACCAGTTGGAGCACGAAGCTCTGCACAAGTTGTGGAAGTCACATTGATGCGTCCCATTCACGGCAAGCGCGCTATGAAGTGAACACTGTGATAGTTGGGCTGGTGCGGTTCAAGCGTGTTGCTTCAAACAGAGGAGCAAGAGTGCCGGGTTTCCTTTGGTTTCTTTTGGTTTCCCCTTGGTTTTCTTTGGGTTTCCACGGGTGCTCCCTTGGCTTCCCCCTTGGTTTTCCCCTGGTTTCCCCTTGGCTTGTCTGAATCGAGCTGTATCTTGGATTCCATGGGTTTCCCTGTTTTTCCCTTGGTCTCCCTTGTTTTGGCCTGGCCCGCCTTTTTCAGAACCTTGGTTTCCATTGGTTTCCCTGATTCCCTCTTGTTTCCGTGTGAAGCCATCCCCAAAAGTGTCCTCAAAAAGACAAGCCGATGTGGCTGTCAACGCAGAACCCTTCTATCTGCTATGCCACACAGACTCCTTAGCTTTGACACATGTGCGGCTTTCTCGGCGCACCTAATTTGTGAGGAGCATCCATTCCTGCGGATCCTTCCTACGGGCGACCGGCTTTGACCCCAAGACTTCTTTAAGAGGATGCTCGAAGCATGTCTTCCAAGGGAACGAGCGGTGGGCTGCTGGTGTGACCCAACCAACGCTTGACAAAGGCTTTAACTTTGGCGCGCAGCCAGCGAAGTAAAAGGCCACACCCTCGCGGCTTAGCCTTTGATAGTTGTGTCAGGCTTTTGACCGTTTAGACCACGCCGGCCACTCACCAATCTGCAGTGATCAAGAGGCTGCTTGCTTGGCTCATTTGAAGCGCCTAGTTGTGTGTTGGTCTTGGCAAATCTACCGGCGAGCCGGTTTCAAACAAGTTAATCCATCACCTTGCCGACCTGCCCAAATTCCTCCCCCCCTCCCCGTGACAGTAGACACCATTCCCTTTTCATTGACGGGGATGAGCGCTGGTGTGGGAATTGGAACGCATTGCTAGGATGATGGCATCTATGTGGACTCTTGCTTCCTTGTCACAGGCCCGAGTACAATGTGGGCATTCAGAAGAATGTGCAGATGTCTCGGAAACAGTTGGAAACTGGGACTGTGACGCTGTCCTTGCTGGATGAGGACTGCTCTGAGGCTTACCATGTGCGAAGGCGATCACGGACCCGCTGGAAAGTCCTCTGGAGTACTTCTTCTAAAGGGTTGTGTAAGTTGTCAAAGGAAGTTTAGGGAACTTGCGTATTATTGCAACTAGTTGAGATCAATGCGTGCATTTTCGCGTGATTTTTAGGACTCGATACGCTGCGCATAAAACAGCTACGAAGAAGCTGGAAAACGCGAGAATTTTCGAATAGAAGCAGGCCGAAAACGTTTCCCTGTGCGTGAGTTGCGCACACACCACTTCTGTCGCAAGCCCAGAGTCCCCTTTTTCTACGGCCGCGCGCATTGTTTCGCCACCTTCAAAGAGTGAGCTGTGGCTGGGTCGACCCTCATCAACTTTTGGTTTTGTGTGTTTTCATTTCTCTGGCACAGCCCTCTGCGTGTTTTCGGGCGTCGACTTGAAAACGCGAGTGATTTCCTGACGTTTTCCAGCTTGCGCAGCCATCAGAAGATGAGCCCTTTGCAGACTTTCGGGTCGACCCAAAAACTCGTGTTGTGTTCGCGTTTGCGTTTTGCGCTTCGCTCGCTGAACCCTCGGTCAGCCTCGAGCCTGGGAGAGAGAGAGAGAGGGAAAGAAAGCGAACGAGAAAGAGAAAGAGAAAGAGAGAGTGACCTAGCATATTTATAAAGAGTGCTTCCCGCCAAACTGATTTGGACCTCCTCTAACATGGGTTGCGCCACCGGTTGGCATTTTGCTGATCTTGGGAGGGGCAACAGGTCTCCGAGACATGGAAAGGTTTGTCACGCATGCAGGTTGATTGCCGGGCCTTGGCTTGTGTTGGCCTTTACATGATTTCCGGCTTTGTGCCGGGGAATTGTCCCACACCAGACTGCCTGGTTTTTTAGAGCACGTTTTTTGCCATGCCAGCTTGCAAGCTGTTTCTGGTTGCTGACGGAGGCCATGTTGTTTTTCGGCCGCGTTTTCCGCAGGAGCCTGGCAGCAACAAAATTGTGGGGGGACATTGGCCAATGTTACCTGGTGTGAGTTCGATTAGCTTCGGCGATCATCCTCCGGTGAAATTGAAACGATTGTGCGAAAGGTTGACACGCACCCACACACGCAAATCGAGAAGTGCAACCAATATTTCATTTGATGTGAATTGTCCCGAATTGTCACCCCTAGGTTTCCCTGACCCAAGACATCCTACTGTCGCGATAGGGTGTACAATGCTATTTTTGCGCACTGGCGGGTTGTTTTGGGTTTTTTTTCAAAGCCAACCCTTTGTACACAGCAACTCGCCCACGGTTTCCCAAATATATAGGTGGTTTCAGCCAGAAGGCGGGATCTCAAAACAATGGACATAGCTTGGTGCCGCAGCTCGGAGTTTTGTTAGGACAAGAAAGTGGTCAGCCAGAACAGCGTGCGGATAGAGAACAACGTCACGAAGGACTTGGGGGGAGGGGGGGGACTTTTCGGGTGCTTCTCACTAACCCCCTTCTGCTCGATAAAAACATGTCTACACTTGTATAAGCTTGGGTTTCGATCTTAGTCGTCGAGGGTGTAAAGACAAACTCAAGCACGTTGAAAAGGTTGATCAGCTACAAAAAGCATTCATGATGGGACCTTGCAGTCTAGCTGCAGTTGAGGTTGCCTGCTTTCAGTATGTCATGGTTTCTATTTGCTGTTTACCTTGGGGATCGATGATTGCACAGAGTCCCGCTCCAAAGTCAGGGTCGCGCACATCCAGTAGCCCTCTGCTTTTCTTGAACTGGCTAATGCTGGGTAGGGATCCTAAGTTTTAAGCTCTACGGCCCAAACAGATGATCCCTTTAAACAAGAGTGTCCCATGTCTCTCGCCCACGTCACATTCCCGTGGTGTACCCGGTTTGATTCGGGGCTGTTCCACCACACACACACACACCCTGTTGGCACAAGATGGCCTAAGTCCCGTGCCAGGCTGATGGGCTCACAGTGCCACTACATCTACCAGGCGGGGCTTGAATGAGATTGGGGCCGCCCAACATGTCAATCCTCGTTCCCATTGCGGACTAATCCACAAAAGCGAGCCGGCAGAGTGTTGCTGGGCGTTGTTTGACAAAGCGGTCAGCTCACCGGGTAGAACGAGCTCAGCCACAGATATTTTTTGCAAGGGGTTCTTCAGTCAAGCCGGCGAAAGCCGCTTGTCAGCTTTCAGCACGCACCTCTGAAAGCGTTGTGATTATTGGTGGTTCACAGTGATTTATGGATGTTCGGACGCCAACTTCCACGGGCCCT